ATATATGCTTTCTGATGTAGTCCTAGCCCACTTCAGATTGTAGCCAAGGGACTAGATTTTTTTAAATCCCATCTGTTTATTTCCACAAGCCCAGCATGTGCTCTATTGATAGAAGAGATTCCTAGTTTGTTCAATAGGACTTATTTCCTAAGTCTGTTTGGAGTCATGACTGCAGAAATCTCTTCCTACTCTAGCTGAATGTTTCTTTTGCTTGCCATAAGGCCATCTCAAACCAACTGGAAAGCATTGGGAGAGAAATGGCGGGGGGAGGTGAGCAAAGGAAGCAACAAGCGCCTGCTCCAGGGCTTGGTTTGGTTTGGCTTGGTTTGCTTGAAGGGCATGACTTTTGACGTGCAGTCCTGCTGAGACGATTGCCAGCTTCCAAACTTGGAAGCTGATGATCATCTAACATAGAGTGGGAATAGCAATGACTGTGAGCTTCAACTCCCTTCTTTTCCTGCTCTGTATTTTTACAGGATGGCCATTTTCAGCCATCTATCTGGGACAGGTCAGAGGTGCTGCAGAAACATAAAAACATAGAAACAGAGCAAGTCAGAAGGGGTCTCCCGGGCCATCTAGTCTGACCTCCGGCACCAGCCGGCTCTGCTAACGACAAGCCCACCATGTGAACGTCCAGCCTATCCTTGAACACCCAGAGGATATGCCATGCCCTGTCCTCTGTAGCCTTCTCCTCTCCATGCGCTGAAGGGCCGCCTTTATGCCCTCTCCAAGGCTGAGTTTGGACCTCAGAAAGGCTGCCAGGGCTGCCCACACTGGCTGTGAGGAGGGTTGTTGTGGGGCTGCAGCCTGGATTCCCAGCTCCAATGTTCATGTGTGGTCTTCAGCCTCAGATCTGGGTATCCAAAGTATCCTATGGGCTTCTAGGCAATGTCAATGTCATATTATTAATATTTTGAGCTACTTTGATGTCTTCAGTCAAAAAACTGGCTACTACATAAATGACTGGAGAAACTTCAGAACTTTAGGGGACTCAACCCTATTTCCTCTTCTTGAGACAAAAGAATGCATTTTAAACATGTAGGGAGAGGCAGGGAAGTCAGAAAAAATGCAGTTTAAAAGACTATACACATTCTTGCTCTGTGCATTTGCTCAAATTACAGAGTTTGCCGTTCTCTCAGGGAAAAGTGGGTTATATTACCAAGCATCAGAGTGGTGGTGATTATCCATTGCTTCCCTAACTTTTCAGTCATTTTTACCACATCAGTGGAAAGATAATTGGATGCAATTCGTTTTCTTTATTCTTTTCCGTGGCAGGTCAAACTCTTTTTATTTTCCCAATGTTTTAAGACCTGGCTGTTTTAATTGGGGTTTTATTGTTACTTGAATTTTTAGGACATTATGTTTTAATTTTTTTTACATTTTGTACTGTTAAACTATCCTGAGACTTCGGAAGTGGAACGGTCTAGAAAAGTTTTAAATAAATAAATGCAGAGAAATTACTTCCTCTCAGGCACTTTCTTACTCACCTGTGTGTCACACGTTGGCTGGGTTCACACAACATGACAAGCAGCCCTGTGCAGTTTCCCTGGTGCACAGTTTTTGCCTGGATGTCCCTGACAAGACAGTCCAGTGTTCTCTATGCTAGTGTGGTTTCCATCCTTCTTGCTCATTCCTCCCACTGTCGGCATATATCCCATCAGTCACTGTACCTGAAATTCAACCCTATGACGGATGGCTGGAGCAGCTCCTGGAACTGCCAGTCTTTCCAGGACACTCAGTGGTAGCTGCAAACCAGGATTGTCAAAATCATAATGTTGGATTCAGATGACTCACACATGGTAGGGTATGGAAACCATGAAACAGATGGCTGTTTCTTATCATGGTTTCTAAAATGCAAATATACCATGCTGAAATACCAAGACAACGTTTGGATGACAGAACAGGCCATCCTGCTCAAGAAACCACCATGCTTGTTGTGTGAACCCACCCAATGAGTCACACAAGTAGATCTCTCTGTGTAAATGCTACACAGCTCCTACCCTTTCCCAGCCTGGTGCCTTCAGATGTGTTGGACTACAATTACCATCATTCCAATCTGAGTAAGAATTAACTGTTAGCTGTGATGTACTGATTTATGGAAACTGTTTATTAATAATTCTGAGACACAGCCCAGAAAGTTCTGCAAAGTTCTGCCTCTATTTGTGAATGAATCACCTCCATTGTCCTTCTCCTCCCCATCCTTTGCCAAGCCTGATGGGGTCACTGAGATATATTTAAGGAGACTTGAGATAATTGGTTTATAATCCCTTTGATGGATAGTTTCTATTTAAGGAGAAATAAGGTTGCATCACAGAGATATCTAGGTGGCACACTGCAAGTATTGGCTTTCTTCCACTCCTGCTTTTTGACTGAATGCAAACTGGAAAATAGAAAGTATGTATCTTTGTCTATTTCTCTAATCTGTGCTGTATATTGTATATGGATGATTCCTGGCTTATTGTATCTGTTTTACTGCTAATCTTTTATCCCTTCGTTATTCAATTGCTATAACCCTTGGATAGAAATACTAAACACTTTCATTATTCCATCCATGCAATCTATTTTCTGTTTTATATCAGTTTCAATGTACTTTCTCACAATAGTAAAACTGTTTTCTTTCCTCTGTTTTCAACAGAACATTAATTTTCAGTTTATCATGCACATCTGCTTTCGGTCTGATTTATTTTTATCCATTTACTTCTTAATCTTGGCATCTGTATTTCTCCTATATTTTCAGTCTGTTCTATGCATCTGCTTCTCAAATATCCTCAAGGAAATACCATCTTTTAACTGCTGGGGGATGTGAACAAGATTGCTACCTGCCCTCCTCATCTCTTTGTTTCAAATGTTTTTTCTCCCCTTCATTGACTGGCTCCTTTTATTAAAATCTGCACATATTTCAGTAGATCAGTTGACTCCAGAGAGAGTGAGGTAGGCTTCTGTGTCAGATTATTTCAAGTGATGTACACCAACTTGGACAGATTCACGGAAGGAAAGACAATCAGTGTGGTTCCTAGTCTCCGTGGAGGCAGCTACCCAGATCAAAGACAACATCTCTCTGTATACCCATTGCCGGGAAACAGTCAGAGGAAAGGGCCATTGCCCTCTTGTCCTGTTTGTGGGCTTCCAGAGGAGCATTTAATTGGCCACTGTGGGCTGCATTGTCCTTTGGCTTGGTCCAGTTGCCACCTAATATAGAACAGCATGAAGTTTATCAAGAAACAACTCAGTTCTTAGAGATATTAAGAGAATGCACTCTTGGAAGAGGCACCTTGAAGCCAAATGTGGAGATGAAGAGACAGGTGCCAAGGAGAACACAAAATAGCCAAAATTTAAATGTGCTAATAACAATAAAGAGATGGTGATGATGCTGATGACTTCTAGTTGCATAAGCATTTCTGGTTTGAAAAATAAAAAAAGTAACAATTTAACTGCAGCATCATGAATGCCTCAACTCTGGAAAGCAACATTTAAAAATGTAGTAACTTGCTGTGAATTGAGATGATAGACCCCCCCCCCCAAGTAAAGTAATAAACAAGGACTTTAAGAATCATCCAGGAATTGGGTAAATCTAAGTTTCTGTAACCTCTTGATAATAATTACAGTGTAAGAAGACATGCAAAATAAAATCGGTCTTTCCATTGTTGCAAAGGAATTTTACTCTATCTGCTATCCAAAAGTTTAGAGAGTGAAACATTGTACCAAGCCAGACAAAAATTGTCCTCTCCTACTTTTGAGGTTAGATAACCTTTTTATATAGGACCTTCCACTTTTCAAAATTGGGCCAGGCAAAAAAACCAGGGAAAACATGGGCTCTGTGCCTCTCCATACAGGAAAACAAAACTCTTGAGCTTTGTTTTTTTCCCCTTTATATTTGTATGAAAATGTGTGCATATTTATCTAAACATTTGCAGCACTTGTGTGCATTTTTAACATGTATGCATTTTATCTCACTGATTAAGGTATGTTTGTAAACATTATGCACAAGGAGCATTTTTCAAATTAGTGCATTTTCCACCTCTCCATAAATCCCATCACAAACTCAGAAATGAGTGACTTTGACCACATTTTGCATTTCAGGCTGTGATTGGTTCTAGGAGGGGTGCACTAGTTAAATTCTGGTAAACAGAATTAATTCTCATGTATCCCTAAGGGTTAGGTTAACGAAACTGACTGGGAGTAGCACTGGGACTAATAAATTATTATTGCCACAAGATCTGGTGGTGGCCACTATCTTAGATGATTAAGTGATACATTAACCTCCATTAGAATATACTTAAGTGTCCATCCCACTGTTAGCCGTGACTCATGTTGAGAAGGAGTATACCATTTAATGTGACCAGGGACAAATGACAAGCAACAAGGAGGGTGAGCAGCACCTTTGTGACTTGCTTGTGGCAGAACTGGAGCACCCAAGGGTGCACCACTGGCAGTTTTTGTTAGCGAGGACAGTGATACATGTGCCTTCAACTTTCCTGCCACCTCTAGCTTGAGTTTCACTCACCACAGTGGCAGTGGGAGGGGAATGAATATTCTTGGCAATTCTTTATTGTAATTCAAAGTATTTTGGGGCGACTTGCTCTTGAATGGACAGCTGATACCCTTTAACTTTTCAAGAGGCCTGCTTCTGGTGGAGGTGAGAACTACCAGAACTGGATTGACTGAGTGCATTTTGGGCGCTTTCAGGACATGGGTACATCAAAATTTACCACCTTCCCACTGCCTGTTCATGAACTTCTTTGGGCAAATCAGTAAAAGCTTGCTGGGCTGATGACTTAAGCACTGTTGGCAGGAAAATGCTGGGTAAAGGGAACAACTGTCTGGGCCCAACTGTGTGTATTGCTGATAAGGAATGAAAGCTGCAGAAAACTGAAAATACTAACATGTCATGTTGGATGTCTGTCTGTCTCTGTGTGTGTGCTCTCACAGATTTTGTTGTCATTCAACTTATTATGGAAGATTAGAAAATGGACCCACACAAAATAGGAGAAACTGTCAATATGCAGCTAGCCAGCAGCCAGGAGAAGAGCACTGCAGCTCATGAAGAGGACAGGGCTGAGATCAGTACAATGGGCACACATGCTGTGCCTGATGGTGTGACAGACTCCGGAATTGGTGTGCCACTTAGCGCAGCTGCTCGCAATGAAGACTCGGTTGCCTCTGAATCCACAGTTGACATGGCACCCGAAAATGCCCCTCTGCACCATCCCAGCCCAAGCACCATTCCCCAGAACCACAGTAGCACCCCCCTTGGGGTCACCACAGTGGGAGAAATGGCCACCACAGATAAACCTGAAGATATTGACAATTTTGGAAATAAGCACTCCAGCACTTCTAAGTCAAGTTCTAGAAATGCACTTTTCTCCTTTTGGGAGGCCTCTACTGTCTCTAAAGACACCACGTTGAATAGTCCTAAAAATGCTAATTCTTTTGGAGATGAGGCTAAGAAGGAATATCTTACTGACACAAGCCCCGATGGCCATCCTGTGTCCACAGCTGAAGAGACTATTACTGCTCTTGGAAATAGAATCACTTCTACCATTACCACCACCACCATCGCAGGTGATGCTTTCTACAAAGCTTCTAGAAATATGGCTGCAGATGAAGGCAGCAAATTCAGTCTTTCTGGAAAAGCTACTGCTGTATTTCCTTCTGAAAGTATTGGAAAGACTGTCATCCCTGGGGAGAAAGCCACCTCTGATTTTGAAAACTCCACTCTTGCCCCTAGTTCCATTCACTCTCTTGAGAACGCTAGTGCCCCTGGATATGTTGCTATCACAGGTTCTGGAGATAATGCTGTGAGGGAAGACACCTCTGCCACTCCTCCCGGAAATGTCATTCTCAGCAATCACTCTCAGTTCGATTTGGTTGGCAGCAACAACATCTCCACAGAGATCCTGAACACTACACTCAAAAAGACCTCTGGAGATATCACCGCTATTGCAAACATAGATGAAATTGTCTTTGCTGATTATGAATCCACCATAGAAGTGATTAGTACTACCTCTGACAAGAACACTACCCTTGGACACAATACTACTGTTGATGGCTCTGGTAACAAGGCAGTCTCTGGGAATGATATAGGCACAACATACAGAGAGATCAACCAGTCTCTTTTTGATGGTGGTACTGCCACCTCTGCCTCTAGGGGAACCTTTGCTATAACCCAAGATAGCATCTTGAATGTTCCTGAATATTTCATGATCACCACTGCTTCCAAAGTAGAACTTGGAAGGTCCTCAGAAATCATTCCTGCTGAGACCACTATAGCTTTTGACACTGTCACCAGTAATGTTCTCCACACGATTCCTACAATTATTGCTGTCACTGAAGCTGCTAAAGAGGCTCCCACTAGAAATGCAGCCATCATCTTTGAAAATGGTAACTCTGCTGCTTTAGGGGAACCTGCTCCTCAGAACACAGGTGGTACAACAATGGAAGACATTGTTGCTAGAACAACTTATAAGGATGCCACCAGATCCATAGAATCTCCAGAGATATGTACAATAAACTCTGAGAAGGATGTAACCACATCAGTTACCACTTCTGCTTTTGAGAATACTATTATCAACTCCTTAACCCCTAGAGAGACCACTCTCTCAACAGGAGAAGATGAGAAGAACATTGCTTCTGGAAATGGCACCATTTCTGCTACTGAAGAGCATTTTACTGCCATCTCTACAGAGGCTGCTGTTGGTGAGAGGAGCACTACTAACTTCATGTCTGGAGATACCACAGATAGCAATATCAGTATTTCTACCAACTTGTCGGAAATTGTCACCAGTTCAAACTATGCTAGGAATACTAGGACTTCTGCATATGGAGTCACTGCCAATACTGTGACCACAACTTTAGGAAAAATGAGCACCAATAAAGGAAGTCACATGCCTACTGGGTCTGCCACCTCAGCTGTGACTATGAGAATTCAAGCCGGCACCAGCCATGGAAGGAATACACTCCTGAATGAAATAATGACCGCAGAGCTGAGCCCTAGTTTATCAGATGATGTCATACCTGGGTCATTCACTTTTGCCAGAGAGACAGCTGTCCTTGAATCCACCACCACCCAGGAAGACAGTCTTGCTGAATCTGTCAGTCCTTACATTGCATTCACCCATGACACAGTACTGGACGCAAATTTGACTGCTTCTACTACTGCTGGTGACAGCAAAATTCCTTCAGGTATCATCACAGTCGTTCCTGGGGCTGCCACCCCAACCAATGGCCCTGCTTCTAATGTTTCTTTGCTTTTAAGAGAAGTCAATACAGATGCTGTGGCAGAAGTCACCACCAACACAACCAGCTCTGTATTTATCAACATAACTAACAGTGGAGCCATCTGCAATGATACATCTGAGGAGCTGTACTGTGCAGAGGGAATTAGTGCTGTACAGAGTGGAGGCTCCTCAATCCTTGGGCAAATACCCACTCTTAACCATTCATTCTCAGTAGGAACTGGTAGCCAAGAAGCCACCACCAGCCCAGGAGGTATCACCACTGCCTTTGATTGCACCACCAGTGTTCCAGATGGTGCAGCGCTTGAGGAGACATTTGCCTCTCTGCACAGTGAGATCCCTGTCACCCTTAAACAGGACTCCAACCAAAGTAACACAACCAGCAATGAATGTACCACTGCTGAAGCTGCTGTGCTAACTGAGAGGCCTCTGACAGAAAATACTCCCAGCCCTTCTGGAGAGTGCAGCACTTGGAGTGGTGCTCCCATGGCAATAGGAAACAAAAATGTTGCCAGCTATGGGGATACTGCACCTTTATGCAGCTCTGCAACAACAGAATCCAATGCCACATCAGGAACTTTGATGATATCAGAAGCTACTCCTGCCTCTGAAGATGCCAGCGGCATCAATAATACCAGAGGTATTCATTCATTTGCTGTTGCAGACACTATCATTAGTGCAGCATCAGTAAGCCCCAACGTCTCTCCAACCAACAAACCTAGAGAATCTGTTGCAGCCAATGCCTTGGAAGATACTCCCCAAACTTTCAGCCTTTTGGAAGACACTTTCACCATCACTTCTACTGCCACAACAGCCATATCCACCGTTACTGCCCTTACAGATACTGACACGGGCACTCAAGCTTTCCCTGGAGATGTTACTACTGTTTCTAGAGATAAATATGCCAGCACCCTTCAAGACCTCCCAAACCTGGGCAAAAGGGTCACCTCAGAAAATATTTTAACCACTAGCTTTGAAGACATGAGAACCCACAGCGAAGCTCCTGCTTTTGGGACAAGAACCTCTTCAGAAACTCACATCCTTGAAGATACTTCTGATCCTGTAGCTAACATTCCAGAAGAGAATCTCAGTCATTACTCTTCTGATTACTACAAAACTACAATCACTACAACAACACCTGCTGCTTCTAGTACCATCAATACTCTGAGTGATACTAGTTCCATCCCTCATAATGCTGCTTCTGTGTTTGAGACTGCTACTAGATCTGGAGAGGTTTTAACTTCTAGGAGTAACTCCACAGTTACCTGTGTGGCCAACAGTATTCAGGATCAGACCACAATTAGTGAGTCTCCTGCTATAGTCCCTGGTAATTTCTTCCTTGCTACTGAAGAAAATTGCACTTCCATAACCCCATCTGAGGCACAAGATTACACTATGGCTAATATCCCAGATGGTACAGTCACCAGCGACATCACTTTCTCCAGTATTTCTGAAAATATCACTAACATCACCAACCCCTGTGTTGGCCCTGGAGATCTAAATGCTGCTGTTAATGTTCCATTGAACACAATCACCTTGGCCCTTGTCCTTGGAGAGACAGTGCCACCAGGACAGACCTTTGGAAGTTCTATCAGTGTGATTGCTGCTTCTGGAAATTCTGCAAACTCCCAGTTTGTTGAAGAAACTGATCTGTCTATTGAGTCTGGAGACCCCATTGTACCTAGGACTAGCACCTCTGCAGACTTCAGCAAGATCAACAACATCACCATTGTTCATGCTGTTCCTTCAGGGAGAAGTACCAATGAATCTAGACAGCCATTCGATGCTAAAACCTCTGAAGATGCCCCCACCGTTCATGAAGCTACTGATGACAGCATCAATGGCCTTCCTAATCCTGAATCTATAATCACCGTCAACATGACCCCTGGAAATAGCCCTGTGGCAACACTCAGAGGTAATACCGCTGACATCAGTGCTGTGAGAGGTACAGAAATGACCACTGCTCTTGGAGACATCCACAGTCCTGCAGTTACTGCCTGTGGAGATGGAATCAACACACTCAAAGACAACGCCAGCCAAGAAAAAAGAGTTATACTTCAAAAGGCCTCCACTTGCATTCATGAAGACATCAGCAGCACCATGTATGAAGCTTCTACTCCTAATCACACAAGACCTTGTGAAAAGACAGCAACATTTGAATCTACACACATGCCTGTGGCTAATTTGGCCAACAGAGGCACCTTTGGCAGTGAATTCTCCAAAGCTACCATTAATGAAGATACTGCTGAAATAGCAAATACTAGAAATGATATCCTGATGACCCATAGTGAAAACTGGGTCTCTGCCCCTGTAGGGATTGTTTCTGTTTCCGAAGACCTTTGTGCCCCTGAAGGAACTGTTACCTTTGCACAGATCACCACAGCTATTCTTGAAGAGGCTGGAGAACAGAATGAGCTCTCTACATTTGGGGTAGCTGTTTCTGTTGCAGAGACACCAAACAGAGAAGTGGACTTCATGTCTGAAGTGAATATTAGAGAAGCTGCCAGCTCCACTCCTGGGCCCACAGCAGTTAAAGAAGATATTTTATTGGCACCTGTAGGTGATGAAACTGCCATTTGCCATAGTGAGATGAAATCTCTAGAGAAATCAAAAGATCTAAGTTTCAGTACCATCCCTTCAGAAGACTCCTTTCTTGGAACTTTCACTTACTCAAGAGAGATGAACCATACTGTCTCTAGTGTAACATCTGGCTCCTACTCTGAAGGCTGTCTGGAAGAGGCGTCCACTATTGGGACCATCCTTGGTATTGCTCAGGCTCCTTCTCCTCTTGAGGAGTTTCCAGCCCCTGGTGCCACCTCTGCTTCTGAAGACACCAACATTAGGACAACCACAATTGACATCAGTAATTCCCCCATGTTTAGTGCTAACAGACATGGAAAATATTCCACCTCAGAAGCCACAACTATGCTTGGAGGAGTTACTTTATCTGGAATTATGACTTCCCCTAGACCGACCTTTGTTCATGAAACCATCAGCTTTCAAGAGGCCTCCATATCTACATCTGCCATTGGTTCCACCTCTGAGGTCACCATTGATCCTACTGAAACATCCACTCATGGAGCTACTTTTTCTATCGCACAAATAAGCACATCTGGAAATGTTTCCTCCATAAAAATTACGGAGGCTGAAGGAATCACTTCCACGATCACCTGTATTAGTAGTACCTCTTCCTCTGGGAATTTCATATTTACACCTTGCAGCAACAGTAAAACTGATACTTCTGGGGATGTCACCACTATGGGTATCCATAGTGAAACATCCTATCCTGGAGCTAGTATTCTTCCTCAAGAGACCCTCATATTTGCAGATGGTGCTGCTAACCATGCTTTTGGACACTTAAGCTCCCCAAAAAACATTGTGTGTGCACCTGAAAATGCAATCTCTGAAGTTCTTGAAGATACCACCACTGTCTTCGGAAGCAGCAGCACTGTCCCTGATGATGCTGTCACCATCTGTGGAATGCCCAATGACAACTCCACTACTGTGGAAGGAACACTTATTGGCAATACTGCAAAGCAGCCTAGTGCCAAATCCAAAGAAACAGCTGTTACAGAGAACACGGCTAGCAGTCCTGAGGAGATTAAATTTGTCCTAGGAGGTGCCTCCATCATCGCTCCAGAGGAGACAAATGCTGCCTTATCAGGAAAGGAAGCAGATAGCAGCACAGATGCCCCCATGTCCACAGATCAGGTCACTGCTACTAGCTCTGGGAAATCCTCGGCAGCAACCCTTGGAGAGACAAATATTGCTACTTTTGCAAAGACTATGGCACCCAGGTTGCCCATAAGTCCAGATGAGCCTGTTGCCATCACCCCTGAAGGAAAACTTGCTGCTGCCTCTAGTGTGACCACTGGCAACACAAAAGATGCTCTTGAATGCACCTGGAGTGCTCCAGAAGAGTCACTTTCTGATGCTCCAAGAGAAGACGCTCTTGTTGCCCAACCTGGAAATACCACTGAAGCCCCCACTGCAGCGCTTCCAGCTGCTGTGTATGAAACAGTGACAATTACTCACAGAGGAATATCAGCCACAATTCCTAGAAAGTCCCACACACTGCCCATGCCTGAAGCACACCCTGAGGTGTTTCCTACCGCTTCCTCTGTAGAAGCTATCACTAGCCATAAACAGGTTGTTCCAGCCAGACATAAAGAAAATACCTGTAAAGAACCTACTTCAGAAAAGATGTCCATGGCTACTCCCATGGGGATTATCTCAGCTTTCCAGGGAAAAAACACTGCCATCAAATCAGGTAAAGCAAGAACTGACTTCTGTATTTCATTGTTCCTTGAGTAAGTTCTGTAGGTCAGGGTTGGGCAGAAGATAGATTGGGATCTACAAGTAGATCACTGAAGTTTCCAGTTTCCCACACTGTAAATTAGGCCGATAGATTTGTCCCAATTAGATATAGATTTGCACTTGTCTTTGCAGGCATCGCAGTGTAGGGCTCACATTCCCACTTTCTGAACCACCATTTCATTTTTGTATTTAGCTTCACCCCATTTTGCATATGACTTTGGTTGATGGACTACTAAGTTCACATAAAAGCAATAAAACAAAGTCAGTCCCAGAAGACTGAATTCTGCCCGTGGCTCCTCTAGGGGATATACGGTAAACAGTCTAGGATATATGATGCTGACTGCTCTCCTGCTGATTTCCCATCCCTTGCCAGAGCCCTGAAGAAGCCTGCCTGAAATATGGTTCCCAGGAGCCCAGTGATCTTCAGGATACTCCTGCATGACTGGGGCAACCATTGCAAGAACCATTCCAGCCTTGGTTCTTAGGATGGAAGGCAGGTCTCCCTAAAAAGCAAGCTGAGCTGTCTTGGAATAAAGAAGGGGAGATCATCTTATACAGCCATAACTGGTTAAAGATCAGAAGGCAGAAAGTAGGAATAAATGGTAACTTCTCCAAGTGGAGGGATGTAACCAGTGGGGTCCCATGGAGTTCTGTGTTAGGACCGATGCTTTTCAACCTATTCATAAATGATCTAGAATTAAGAATAAGCAGTGAAATGGCCAGACTATTCAGGGTGGTTACAACCAAAAGGGACTGTAAGGAGCTCCAAAGGGATCTCTCCAAACTGGGAGAATGGGTACAAAATGGCAGATGCTGTTCAATGTTAGCAAGCGTGAAGGTAATGCCTTTTGAGACAAAAAACTCCCAGCTTCAAGTAAAGGCTGATGGGATCTGAGCTGGCAGTGGTTAAGCAAGAAAGGGATCTTGGGGCAGTGGTGGACAACTTGATGAAAATGCTGGTCCAGTGCTCAGCTGCTGTGAAAAAGGCGAAGTCATAATTAGGCATAATTAGGAATGGAATTGAAACTAGAACTGCCAAGATCTTACTCCCCTGATACAAAGCCTTGGTGCACCCACAGTTCATATATTGTGTACAGTTCTGGTTGCCTTGCCTGAAAAAGGACATTACTAAGTTGGAAAAAGTAGAGAGAAGGGCAACAAAAATAATCAGGGGGCTGGAGCACTCTGCCATGGGGAACAACTCCAACAGCTGGGACTGTTCAGCTTCGAAAAAAGGTAAGTAGGGGGAAAGATGATAGAGGGGTGTTTAAAATTATGCATGGCGTGGAGAAAATGAAGAGGGAGACAGTATACTAGAACCTGGGTCATCCCATGAAGCTGATTGGTGGCAGATTTGAGACAGATAAAAGGAAGTACTTTTTCACACAGCACATAATTAAACTATGGAATTTTCTGCCAGAGGAGGAAGAAGATGTCCACCAATTTGGATGGCTTTTAAAGGGAATTGGGCAAATTCACGGAGGAGGAGCCTATCGGTGGCTACTAGTCTTGCCGGCGATGTGCTTCCTCCTTTAGCAGAGGCAGCGTGCCTCTATCCCAGGTACCGAGGAGCTTCACAGGTGGAAGTCTTGTGCCCATCCTGCTTGAAGGATCCTGTGCACAGCTGGTTTGCCACCGTGTGAACTGGATGCACCGTTGGTCTGATCCAGCACAGCTTTTCTTATTTTCTTATGCTCCGTAAAGGCCAAGACACAAAAGCTGTGAGTTCTTCTTTCCTGACCATTCTTCAGAGTAGAGTTTGTGTATGAGACTCAGGAGGTCAGGAGACGATCTCCATCAACCCAGTGTGTGATGGAAGGGAGGATAGCAAAAGGGAAATGGTATCGTACTGTTCTGAGATGCTGAAATGATTTTAATGTTGATCTGTTTGAAGCCCCTGATATCTGCAGGGCACATGAGGTCTGTGCTGAATGGTGGTGGCCCAGTCAGCAGGCCATGGGTTGGCTAGATCAGTACCACAACACAGTCCTGAATAAGACTGGTTGCCCAAGACAATAATAAATGTTGATATACAGTCCAGTGCCTGATTTATTCGTGATCTGAAAGGGACTCTGCACATGCCCAGAAAATTTTTATTACTGTTACTACTTTTATATCCATCTTTTTTCTTCTTGCAATTAACCCCCAGAGGCTTACATAGTTCCATCGTATCCCCACAATACCCCTGTGAGGCAGGTTGGGCTGGGAGTGAGTGAGTGGCCCAAAGTCACCCAGGGAGCTTCAGGGCTGAGTTGGGACAAGAACCCACATCTCCCAGGTCCCCAGTCCAACAGTCCAGCCACCCCACAGGCTCTTGCTTTGTTCGTGCCATCAAAGCCTGGGCTAAGGCCCTGAGGACCATTTCCACAGCCACACAGGGCAAGCTCCGATTCAGCTCCGAATGAAACCCGGACAAGCCAGTCGAGATGTCCCAGCTCATCCTTTCTCCTCTTGCCTCTGCAGGGAGCCTGCTGCCCTACTGGTCCGTCGTGCTCATCGGCATTGTGGTCACCCTTGTCCTGGCTGCGGCACTTGGCATGGTAAGGACATGCTGTTTTGCTCCATTGAGTACACGTCCACACTGCCCCAAAGCATTCTGGGTGGTTTATGCAGCCCCTGGGCAGGCATTCCGCAAGGATCATGATGGACTGTAAGCTCTCATATCCTTACATAATGGAGGTTTATGCAGAGGAGTTGCATGAGCCAAATGAAAAACATTTCCTTCCTCTCTTGGCTGGACTTGAGCAGAGGATTTTTTTGCAGCGGGCAGGTGTGGACTAGGATTGTTGTGGTGTGTGGGAAGTGCCATGTGGGCCTTATTCTAAGGGCCTTTCAGCGCACTGCTGCCTCGCCACCTCCTCAGCTGCCCCTTGCTGCTTTACCTCCCTCTGGCGAGACCACCGGCATCTCCGCTCCTTCCCAGCTGCGTGCAGAAAGTCCTCCCGTGTCTGCTTAATAGGACAGAGGGCAGGAGGACAAGAGGCTGTACCAGGAGCCCCACACACTGCCGAGGGGACATGCCGAGGGCCCAGCCTGGAGCCTGCCAGCGGGGCGTGAATGCTATGCAGGGAGCAAAATAAGATATCTTTGAAGACAGTGTGAATGGATGGTGAGGTCTACTGAGTAACACTAAAGCAGGAGTTTTCAACTTGTGATGCTCCATATGGCTTGGGTTACAACTCACATCAGCTCTATGTTGTTGGCAAATTGTGAGGGATGAGGAGTTGTGGGCTAAAATATCTGGAGCGCCACAAGTTGCTCATCCTTTGCTCAAGGGGACTGGAATATTTTTTTCCTTACTGAGGGCTAATATCCTTAGCGTACCAAATACTGGGCCAGATATTAGGTTTTGTGCTTGTGTGGTCCAGTCTCAGGTTTGTGGAATATGTGTGCTCCTGGATGCTACCTCTTCTTACACCCCATGACGAGAAGGAATGTTGTCAGTTGAAGTGGCGTGCAGGAGCTTAAAACAGGAGGAAGGGTTTTGGTGGCAGGATTTGAGACTGATGCTGCCTGGCTTACGGCTCACACAGAACACAGCACTGATTCTCATTCTCGCTCTGCCTCTCCTAGGTCATCTATAGTTTCATGTTCTTCATCGTGGCCTGCTTTGCAACCTCATAACTGAATGTATTCTCCTGTCACATCCCTTGTGGAATGAAGGTATCGCCAAGCTTCAGAGCTACTGTGAGCTTTAGATAGCCTGAGAGGTGACTTTGGAAGAAAAGCGGTGAGAGGACTGACATCTTTGCAGGGTGGCCTTATTCAGGAAGGGTTGCTGAGAGATTTCTGTGAGTTTGGTTGTGAAAGGCACGATCGAGTTCTGTGCAAGTGGGATTATTTATTAATCAGTGTTAATGCAATTACTCTAGTTTGGTAGCACCAGATTTGAAAGCCAGGCTGCTCCCTGGTTATGTCATAGCTCCTCACAAGGATCTGTGGTTTGGCATAGGTTCTGGGAATTCTGATGCATCCTGATGCCATACCGACCCATCAACATCCTTGATATTTCCATGGCTATATGATCATTGTAGGGTTAAATGTAGAACCTCATGTTACCATGGGCAGCAGGACTCCTACCCCAGCAAGACTTCTAGTTTCTACCCAGAGTCATGCCAGGAATAAATAAGCTGCTTTGTTCAGCTGCACATAAAACCGAGATAAGTTTAGTTTCTGTATTAAAAAAGAGGGTGTTCTGTGCAAAACTGACTGTATGGCTGAGGTTGCTGTGAAACACGAGCAGTTCCATGTTCAAGCTTATGGATGCATGGCCCCACACGGGCAGCTGTCTTTTGGTATTACCGCTTGCTCCACTTGACTGGCAGGGGCTTTTTAGCAAGAAACTTAGTTTATTATTTCTTTAACTACCTTTTAAAAAATAATAATAAATAATAATAATACAGATGATGTACAGAGGACACAATTACCTTGGCATGCCTACTGGAAAAGGTTTCTATTTAAGTAGGTGTATTTTTTTAAAAAAATATTTATTTCATTTTTATACTGCCCAGTAGCCAGAAGGCTCTCTGGACAGTTTACAAAGTTAAAAAAAACATAGGCAAAGGAACAAAAGAATCAAATCACAATAAAACCATATAACAATAAAACCAATAAAGCAATAGCAAGAAGCCCCCAGCACTTACAATCTGGTTAGCACACAGGCATAGCAGCAATATACAGCAATATTAAAACGAAAAAAAGTCAAAATACCTGGAGAATAAAAAGGTATTCACCTGGTACCAAATAGAAAGAGTAGGCACCAGGCATACCTCTTTGGGGAACTTGTTTCAAAGATGGGGTGCCACAGCTGAAAAGGCCCTTCTCCTGGTTGCCACCTACCCCGAGGTCTCCCTGAGAGGGACCCCAATGGATGATCATAGGGCCTAGGGATGAAGTGTTCCTTTGGGTAACTGGACCCCAAGCAGTTTTTTAAGGCATGGTTGAATCCTGTAGCTTTCTGAACTCTGGGATTACAGGCACCCTTTGCAAAGTGGGAGGAACATGGAGACAACTCTGCACTCCTGCTGGGCAGAACATTTAGATAGCCAGTTTTGCATGCACTGGAGCATGAAGAGGCCAAGGAGGCACCACGATACTTCGAATTGCAGCGGTGCCCCTCTCCTCCTCTCCCTGCTTCACTCAGGCACCCACAACCCACTTTGTGTGCCATCTCGGAAGAGTGGCCAACACAGTTCTTTTCACATTGGCTGTGAGCAGGAGGGGTAGATGCTCGGATTCCCCACTTCGATCTTGAAGCAAGTTTCTGGAGTTGGAACTGGGGTGCCAAAAAAGTCCCGCAGCCTTCAAACACTGTCTAGAGGCCATAGGATTGTGCTCTACAATCTAAAAGAAAAACATATTTAAATATATTCCCCTCCCCCAGGGAAGTATCCCTGTACCAGCTTTGTCTTGAATCATGTAATAAACTATTTTGCATCACTACCATCACCCTGCAGTTTTCACAAGTCTATTACATTTAGTAGGTCTGCAGTATTCTACTAATGCTAAACAAAATGTAATCTATGTGGCATATCTAGAAAGGCCATAATCAACATACACCAGCAGAGGGAGCAAAATAATGGCTCTGTAAAATTGCCATGTGTTGGAATGAAGAGAAAATTTCTCTGAGATTTTGTTTCGCTTGATTGTGGGAGGTTATTGCATGTGGCTCCTTCAGGCAACTGGATTGGGCTGGCCAGATGACCAGAACCATCATTCAGCCTGCATGCTGACATGAGTGTCTGCGTGTGCACATGACAGGAGAGAAGGAGTTTGCAGCTGGAATGCATCCAACAAGGGAGAAAGGTCTGAGCTTTGCAGTTTTCATGGGCATATGGGAGCGTTGAAGAGATGCAAATGGAAAGCTGCTTATTTGGGAAGACTTGATGCTGCTCTGAATACAACCAGTGCCTCCCTGGCTGCCACCTGCTGCTCAATTTGTGTGCCTTTTTAAATAAAGAGAGAAAAAAAAAAAAATAGTAGAAGCCTCTAGTTCTTTCTTCCTCGAGAGAATTGGCCAGGTGTGACTCAGTCCGGCAGTGCATGTCTAAATAGTTTGATGTTTTTAATGTTTATGTTATTCAGTGTTACTGACCACAAGCATGTTATTCTGATCCTCACGGAGTCCTGTGGCCTCCCATGGTCTGTTTTCAAAGCACTGGTTCTACAAATTGGTTTGAAAACCTTAGACAGTAAAGAGGCTGTGCTCAAGGATGGTCAAAAATTACAGCAATTCCACATGTTAGTTAGTAGTAGTACATGTTAAAAGGTGTTTGTGATCCAGGGAGGGAGGGGGTAAAGGAGAAAACAAATGAATAACTGGACTACCTCATTCTGGACCAGCTGCTGAAATTTCCAGATGTTCTTCAAAGGCAGTCCTCACAGCAGCAGGCCAAATGGGAAGCTACTAGAACATGGATGATGCTTTTCAAGTATTTAAATGCAACACTCCCTCCAGTATATAGAAATCTTGAGTCACATGGGGCAAGGCTCTTGATTCTTGAACCTATCTAAAATAGGCCTGATGGTGCTGCTGCTTAATGCCAGGTCGGTCCACAACAAATCATCCCTCATCCATGATCTGATTGTGGGGGCTGACCTGGCTTGCATAACAGAGACCTGGGCGGGAGAGGGAAGGGATGTCTTCCTCTCTCAAATGTGCCCGTCCAGGTATCTGGTTCAGCACCATCCATGCCTGGAGGGGAGGGGAGGGGAGGGGGGGTTGCTTTGGTTTACAAAGCTTCCATCTCCCTCACAGAGCTTCCAGTCCCCTCGAGGCCAGGTCTAGAGTGCCTCTACTTGGTGTTGGGTGACCGAGACAGACTGGGGATTCTGTTGGTGTACCGTGCACCCTTCTGCGCAAAAGACTCCCTGCCTGAGCTGACGGAGATCGTCTCGGACCTGGTGTTGAGGACTCCCAGGATGTTGGTCCTGGGGGACTTCAATCTCCATGCCGAGACTGGTCTGACCAGGGTGACTCAGGACTTCACGGCCTCCATGGCGGCCATGGGGCTGTCTCAACATGTCTCCGGCCTGACCCATGAACGTGGACACACTCTGGACCTGGTTTTCTCGATGGGAAAGGAAGAGGGTGATCTGAGGGTGAGGAATTTGTGTCTGACACCCCTGTCATGGTCAGATCGCTTCCTCGTGAGGTTTGAGCTCGAGAGTGGCCTTTCCCTCTGTAAGGGTGCAGACCCGATTGTGTGGGTCCGCCCCCGGAACCGGATGGATCCGGATGGATTCCTGAAGGCCCTGGGGGAATTTCCGGCTGACAAGACTGGTGCTCCTGTCAAGGCTCTGGTCGAACTATGGGATGGGGAAATGACCAGAGCTATTGACACGATCACTCCTAAGCGTCCTCTCCCACCGGGCAGAGCCCACTCTTCCCCTTGGTGTACACCTGAATTACGGGTGATGAAGTGGGTTGGGAGACGTCTAGAGCGTTGGTGGAGGAAATCATGGGATGAATCTGATTGAGCACACTTAAGAGCCCATTATTGGGCCTATGCTGTGGTGGTGAGGGCGGTGAAAAAGAAATTCTTCTCCGCTTCCATTGCCTCCTTACTATGCCGGCAGAGCTTTTTCAGGTGGTACATGGGCTGGTTCATCTTGGCCCCAAGAAAGACCCTGTACCACCCTCGATGGCCCTCTGTGACGACTTTGCCATGCATTTTAAGGAGAAAACCATTCAGAATCGTCATGAGTTGGACTCCACTAGTAATTCAGAGCCTTCAGGGGAGGAACCAATGTTGCCGTCTGGTCCTAATTTATTGGATGAGTTTCAGTTATTGCGGCCTGATGATGTGGAGAAGGTGCTTGGACAAGTACGTCCCACCACCTGCCTATTGGACCCTTGCCCATCTTGGCTACTTAACAATGCCAAGCACGGGATAGGGACCTGGATCTTGGAGGTTGTCAACGCCTCTCTGAGGGATGGCTGGGTACCTGCCCCTTTGAAGGAGGCGGTAGCCTGACCAGTCCTAAAGAAGGCATCCCTGGATCCAGAGATGGCCACCAATTATTGACTGGTGGCCAACATCCTGTTTTTGGGCAAGGTGTTGGAGCGGGTGGTTGTGGGACAACTCCAAGCACTCTTGGATGAAACTGATTATCTGGACCCATTTCAGTCCAGCTTCAGACCTGGGTATGGTACTGAATCTGCCTTGGTCGCCCTGTATGATGACCTGTGCAGGGAGAGAGAGGGGAGAGTGTCCCTGTTGGTCCTCCTGGACCTCTCAGCGGCTTTTGATACCATCAACCATGGTATCCTTCTGGATAGGCTAGCGGGATTGGGAGTTGGAGGCACTGCTTTGCAGTGGTTCCACTCCTATCTCAATGGCCGATTCCAGAAGGTGGTGCTGGGGGACTATGGCTCTGCGCCATGGCAGCTATGCCATGGAGTACCACAGGGGTCCATTTTGTCCCCTTTGCTGTTCAACATCTACATGAAACCGCTGGGAGAGGTCATCAGGAGGTGTGGGCTGTGGAACCATCAGTACGCTGATGATACCCAGCTCAACCTCTCGTTTTCTACCAATCCAGGTGAGGCAGTGGCTGTGCTGAACCGGTGCCTGGCCGAGGTAATGGGCTGGATGAGGACCAATAAACTGAAGCTCAATCCAGACAAGACGGAGGTCTTGTTGGTAGGTGGCTCGGGCTTTGGGGAAGGGGACCTTGACCTTGTCCTGAATGGGGTTGCACTCCCTCGTAAAGACAAGGTCTGCAGCTTGGGAGTGCTCCTCGATCCAGAGCTTTTGCTGGAAGCTCAAGTAACAGTGGTGGCGAGGAGCGCTTTCTTTCAGCTTCAGCTGATTCACCAGCTGCGTCCCTACCTGGAGAACGACCACCTGGTGACAGTGACACATGCATTGGTAACTTAGGTTGCTGACAGGGAATGGGCGTTGTGCTCATGTAACTCCAGTCCTCCGTCAGCTTCACTGGCTCCCCACTGAAGTCTGGGCCCAATTCAAGGTGTTGGGTATCACCTATAAAGCCCTTAACGGCTTGGGTCCTGGTTACCTAAAGGAGCACTTACGTCCATACGTGTCCTCCCGCCCCTTGAGATCGGCAGCAGAGGCCCTTCTCCGGGAGCCCTCTGTGAAGGACATTAGGAGGGTGATTACCCGGAGGAGGGCTTTCTCTGTGGTGGCGCCCAACCTATGGAATGCACTCCCCAGAGAGGTCCACCTGGTGCCGTTGGTATTTGCTTTTCTGCGCCAGGCCAAGACCATTTTATGCAAACGTCTTTTTAATTGCTGATTCTGTTTATTGATTTTGACAACTGTGGCCAGGGTGTCTCCATCTGTATTTTTTGTATTAATGATATTTATTTATTTGTAAGCTGCCCCGAGGCTTAGGCGAATGGGGTGGCATATAAGTCTGCTAAACAAACAAACAAACCTATGAAGGATGCAGAGACTTCTGGGGGACCCTTCAGGGCCAACCTGCACCTCCCGCACTCCAAGGAGCGCAAGGAAACTACAGCGCACTTGAGGGGCATAGAGGATTCAGGGTGGGAAAAGAAGTGGAGTGGCTGGAATCTTCAACCAGTGGCTGGAATCTTCAACGTTTTCTTGCAGATCCCACTTGTTCTTGCACCTGCGCAGTTGTTAAAGGTGCAGAAGGACCTGTCCAGAACTGAGTCAGTCCACCATATAAAGTTACCTCTTTAGAAAGCATCTTTATTGACTTTGGTTCATAAAGGCATTACTAAGCCATCACGTACCACCAGTAAGCACAGAAGCCATATCCAAAGCTTGCTTGCCTCTTTAAGGCACTTGTTCACAGATGAATCACCCCCATTGCCTTATCTGATGCATAAGTTACCAAGGCAACTTACAGTGGGAATGAGAGACCAGTGAAATGGAATAAGAGAGAAAAAGGGTTGGGCTGGACCGAAACAACTGACATTCCTTTAGATCTGTGTAAACCTTTGAAGGCTAAGACAGTCGTTTCTTTAGACCTGCATTTAGCAGTGATGTATTTTTTTTCTTACTTTGGAGTAGGCACAGAGCTGCCCCCAAAAAAACTTGATGGGGACCCCAGTATGCAGGGTAGAGGGGCTTTAAGCCTCTCCCTATCCCCCCCCCCTCCACTGGGTCTGATCCAGATGAGGGTACCCAAACTTGCCATTTCTACTGCAAAATAGTGATTCTTTAATGCAGAGGTGGGAAACCCTTTCTCATACCTTTTAGCTCCCTCTCTCACAATACTGAAGCTGATTGGTGGAAAATACAGGGCAGATAAAAGGAAGGACTTTTTCCACACAGTGCATAGTGGAATGATGGAGTTCGCTTCTATGAGATGCAGCCATGGCTATGGTTGGCTTCAGAAGGAGCCTGCGGAAATGTCTGGAGGAGAAGGCAAGCAAGAGCTACCAGTCCTGAATGCTGCCATGTGTATTAAAGGTGGTATGCCTATGTAAACCGAAAAGCAGGGAGCACAAGTGGGAGGGTGCTGCCATCCTCATACCATGTGCGTGGGTTTCCCTTGGACAGCAGGTTTCCCTCTGTGAACAGACAGCTGGACTGGCCCCTTAGGCTGATGCAACAGGGCTCTTCTTACATTCTTATGAGTATGTTCAGTATTTTCCACATTGAATATCCTGACCTCACTGTTGGCCATTCTTCCTCTCACCCTTGAATTTCCTGTTTCTGACGCTCTCAACCATCATTGAAGAGAGCTACAGTCCGCAAAGTTGGATGCCAAAGTGGGCATCCGAAGTAAGGGCGCTTGAGTTTTCTTTCAGCTGCTTTGGGCCAGAACGAGGAGCCCAGGCACGGCCTCCTCCTCCACCCCGACCTGCTGCATCTCCCGCTTCCCTCAGGGGCACAGAGTGATGGAGGCTTCAGGGGACCACAGCCAAAAGAATGGGTAAAGTTTCCCTTTGAAGGAAGTCCTAAAGGTGAAGAGAGGTTCTGGGCTCTGTGGGTCAGAGAAGGCCAAGCGCCCTGCTTCATAGTCCAAGCTGACGAGAGTCTTGCGGAGTTTGGGTGGTGGAACCTCTGCTTCTGCCTCAGAGGGTGCAGCGAAGGAGTGAAGCTGGAAGGGGCCCAGCTCCACCGCCCAAACCCCGTGTGCCGGCTGGAGCACCACCGGCCTCTTCCTGTTCACAGACTCATGGGCAACGCCCAGGGCCCAGCCACACCGGCCTTTCAGCTGAACCAGCCAGTGGTGACGGCCGCCGGTGAAGCCCTCGGAGCCCAGAACACAGAAGGAGGGATAGAACCTCTGTGAAATTTTGCTGGGGGCTGGACACACATCCTGGCGGCTCGCAGTCCTCCGGTCAGCTGAAATGGCAAGCCTGGGGTGAGCTGAATTGGGATCCAAGGTCAGGATCTCTGGAACAGAGGCAGAGGGAAGGACTTAATATGGCATGCAAAGCTTTACCTGCATCAAATGTGATGTGCGCACACTGCCTGAATATGACAGCTTGCTTGCGAGATCAACGTGAAAGTCTGTGGAAAGGAAGAGGCGGGTGGCACAGCCCTTCTGGTATTGTTCTGCTCACCCTGCTGCAGGGGACCTCCCTGTAGCAGCACTGTGGAAGATCATTGCAAGGTCGAGGAGCTGGCGGTGTGCCCCACTCCCTCCATTTTGTGCCCAGTCCCCAGCAAAGCCTGCACTTGCTGTTTCTGCTCACATAAGGAAAAGTCTTGCTTTATGTGCTGTACTATTAATCCGTGTGATCCTGGAGTCAAATTGCTGTGTTCCATAGATTAGCAACTGGCACAAGTAGTTTGGGGAAGATGAGATTAATCTTCATTTTGACAAGTGCCAGATACTCTTATTTGGCCTTGCAGAGACAATTTAGCATCTCCACCCCCCCCGCCACACCCCCAAGGTAATCAGCACCAGGTGCAAACTTGACAGTTATTCTTATATAAGTTTTGGAAACTCCCTCCTCTGCTGGACCTCAGCTCAGGCTGAACCACGGAATCAACACTGTGCAGACGGGCTGAAGGAGTCCCCTCACTGTCCCTTGGGGTTCCTGATTGCAGAAGGTAAGCATAAGTAAGCATACTCTCTGCTGTGCTCCTATTTCTTTTGCCTGTGTTTAATAAATCTCTCCCTTCCACACTGGCGTGTTTATTGCCTTTAAATCAAAAAGAATCTTTTGCCTCTTGGCAAGACACCCTCTCAGTCCGAGGACCAAATTCCATTTCAGAGAAGATCCTGGGGGCTGTTGAGAACCACTAACCTCGAATCTCACTCATGTGCTCCCACAGAACTGTCTTCTTCTGGGAGAAAAAGGAAATCCTCTCTTCCAATTCTGTGGTGGGCACTGGCGACCATTTGGGGAAGTTCCAGTTTTTACACCTGCAACAAGACGAAAGAGGCAGAAAAGCCATCAGCTGGGTGGGCACTTCTTTAATTTGCCAGAATGTCTGGATAGATGCAGACAACTGGGAAGTGCACACACAAATGCTTAAAAGCTGACCACACGGTGCCTGTAACTGAACAGAGAAATAGTTGCAGGCAGTCTCCCATCACACTGCATTACTACCTATTGACATCCACTTGGAAACCTGGGAAAGAAGTGGCATCTACCTGGCTATTTGAGGAATGCCACACAGGACCTAGAAGGAATTGGGGGTTTGGCTAGCCAGGCCAAAGCAAGGAGGTGGAGCTTTGGAAAGCCACGCAAGAGAGCCAGCCTTTGTTGTGCTTAGAGGTTGAGCAAGGATTAAGATCAGGCTTCTAGGCCCCATTCAGCCACTGAGGCACTTTGGGTGACCTTTGGGCCAGTCACTGACTCTCAGGTCAGAACAAGAATGGACAACCATGGATACACCTCAGATCCTTTGGAGCAAAACGCTGGAGTGTAAATATAATTAATCAATCAAGTAAATTGAAGGGGGAAAGACCCAGGAGACAATGGAAAGGACCCACAGGCAGAGTGGCTGAAGCAAGACCGAGTAAGTAGTATTCTAGGAAACAGGGATAGACTAGGGAAAAAAGAAGAAAAGCTGGGACAAGGGAAATAAGGGATGAGTGGGGGCAGGGGAGCTTCAAAGCCAAAGAGGCAAGTGTGGGGGACATTTTGACTTGAACCAGGCCAAGCAAATATTGCCGTGCACTTCTCTCCTGAAGCCTAGACAATATAACAGAAACAACTGAACAAAAACAAGAGTTGTTTACCTGTTCAAAAGGGTCCCGATATCCTACAAGAGACACAGACAGAGAAATGATGAGAAAATGGAATTCTAAGGAGGGAGGGAAGCAGAGGAAGGCCATGCTCTCACAGCATTCGGAGTCACACATTCAAAATTGCTCCATGCAACTACACAGAGGGAAGCAACACTAAGTTGAGCTCTGCATGGGGACACCTGATGGTGTGGAGGGACAGCCTTGCAAACTCCCTTTCTTTGGCAAAAGGGGATGTAGCTCAGTGGTAGAACACCTTCTTTGCATCCCGAAGGTTTGGAGTTCCATTCTCCATCTCTGAAGGTAGAGCTAGAAGAGAATCCTGTGCAAAATCAAGCCCTGATTCTGTACAGGGCAGCTTCTGAGGATCAGAATACAGATGAGCAGGGCTTCCACATGAGCGCCTAGTGCCATGGAGAGCTTGACGGACCAGGCGGGGATTAGCTAGAGAATCAAATGCATCCATGCCATTGCAGCAGATCTGTGCATTTTAGCTGTGTTTCTGAAAATACTGTCTGCCCCTCATGCAAGCAACAGCAACTGCTACATGCCGATGAGGTTTACATGGTCTAGGGCAGCATGCAAGGTGTCCTGCAAGGAAAGCAGCAATCAACTTCTTCCAGGACACCATCATCTTTCTGGGTGCACTGAACCCTACCTAAGCTGGGGCACTGCAACAGCACAACACAACTGCTACTGGTTCCCTGCTGGTTAGCTGGGCCAACACCTGTTCCTTGAGAAGTTCTAAGATATCTAAGGCAAAGGAGAGTGAAGAGGCAGAGGCAGTAGAATTAGTAGTAGTTGGAACGATCTGGCAGGAAATAATCAGTGCTACAAGGGTGATGCCAAGGTCTTGGATAGTTCCATTTTTTAATGGAAGATATAATGAGCTCTCTTATCTTAACATTATCTGATATTTTCTAGCCTGACACAAATGGAACCGTTTCCATGGCCCTTGAAGCCACACACACACACCCCTTTTCTCAACTTCCTTTCCCAAACTCTTTCTTTTGACCTTCAGAAATTCAGTATCGGGCTGTTGACACTTTTCCTCCAGTTCCAAGATCCGTTCTTGTAGAAGTGGTGCCCCCTGGTGGACTTTTCTGTTATTCTCCTCCATTTTCCTCAAGTCTTTGGTCACTTGGGAGAACCCCTGCAGGATGTGGTTTTCCCTGTCTTGTAGGTTCCTTTGCAGCTGCTGAAACATTTGGGTAGCACGGTTCCTCTCAGTTTCCACACGGCTCTGCAGAGAAATGCAGATGCAGAAAATGTTTGGGCCTTGAGTATTTTCTAGTCAAGTAGGCCTGGTGAAAAAATAAGCCATGTGTACACACGGAGGAGGCACTTACTACAGATCCTTGGGAAGACTCAGGATGTAGCCAATCAGACCTGTCTGTGATTCCCCCAGAGAGAGATGCTTCCTACTTTATGGGGGAGACTCTCTCCTGCAAAGGTGCTTTAATAAACATACCTAACTTAGATGAACTTAAACACAGAATGAAGTTCCATTACTTCAACAGAAGGAAATATGAAATAGCGGCTGGGGTCAGGCAATAGGGTAAGCCATGGTGGATTTTTACCATTGTTGGTCTGTCTGAAATCAGTTGTGGTATTTCACCACAATAAACTTGGTCTTTACAAACCATGATAAGAAATAATTGATTGTTTTGTGCTTTCTCTGAACCACTGTGACTTGTCATGTTTTCTGAACCCAGGATAATGGTTTCCACAGCAGCTACCAGAGTCTTCCAGAAAGAGTGGCAAATGAAGGAGCCACTCTAGCCATCTAGTCTCTATTTGTGGGTCTAGGAGGAAGAGGTGGGCAAACTAGTCAGGAGTGATGTACTTTGGGGTGTACCTGAAAACCATAGTAACCACACAGGGTTGCTTGTCATGTTGTGTGAATGCAGCCAGTGTCGGTAACAGCACTGTGTTTCCCAAAGGAGAAGGATGGGTCACATCAAAAAGCAGAGTCTTTCTGTCAGTAGGAATTTCTGTTGCTAATTCCACAAAGGAACGTTGGCTGTACATGTGATCTCCCTCCTTTGAATCCTATGTGCCCTCCGCTATATCTCTTGCATTCCTAAGGACTGATATTTTTAAAAAAATTCCTGAACTGGGGTTGGAATACTTTTGTTCAGTTTAGGCCATGGAATGCTTTTGTTCAGTTTAGGCCATACTTTTGTTCAGAGAGTGAGCCCATCTCCAGTTAAGACCAGCTGCCACAGCCATCATGCACAGAGCTTTTATATGTTTAGCTTTTTTTTGCAATGAAAAAGCTTTTTTTGCATCATGCAGAAAACATGCCATTACTTTTGTGATGGTGATCTGAACCTACACTTCTGCTGTCAAAACATTTGGCTCCAGGCTAATCTTTTACACATTCTGACCTTGGCAGAGGTTTATTTTATATTTTTGACTCTCTTGTGTCTCTCCAATAAAACCCCTTGTTCGGTCATCAGGAACATTTTATATTTTTCAAATGGCTTGGACCTGAAAAAGGTACTTCAGCAAACACATCACCCCCTACCCCCACCTTTCTTAGGGTCAGCTCCAGGTTAATGGCACCCGTGGCAAGGGAAAAGTTTGCCTGACAGTAGCAGAAAGAAGCAAGACTTTGAATCAGGACTGGGTGGTTTGGAGCCGCCATTTTAATTTCCTGCAATTGCTTGGAGTAAGGTTACAACAGGGCATTGTGGGGCGATTACCGTGACTGCTCCCTGATTAAGATGTTTTTGAAAAGAAGAGCAAAAGGCAGGCAACAGTGGTGGGTCTGGCTGTGCAGCTGGAGCTCAGCACCAATCTGAGGATGCCTCATCTGTCCTGGTTCTTTTCCATTTTCTCAGTTCTTTGTTGTGCTGTGCTGGCTGCCACTCATGGAGACTTTCCACAGAGCTGCAGCATGTCATTGATATGTTTTGTATTACTGATTAGATGTTACTTGGGAGGTGAAAATGCAGGGCTGATGGGCAGCAAATTGCTTGCCATAACATCTGCCTTGTTTGATGGCTTTTTCTCCCACAAGGGTTCTGTTTGAGAACTATATACTTGGTGTCAGAAAGGAAAACAGTCAGAATTGCACTTATGGGGTTTAGTTTCCATTTCTTATTTCTTTATTTATTACATGTCTAAACTGCCAATTAGCTGAAGCACTCTGATCAGCTCACAATAATCAAGACTATAAAATATGACATTAAGTGTGTTACAAAACTACAATATAGAACAGAAATAAAAGCCAATGTTAAAGCCTAGTATCAGCATGAAGTTTTAAGGAACAGAATAAGATCTGAAACAGAGACTAAAAAAAAATTCTGGCTAAATAAGGAGGTCTTCACCTGACAGTGGAAAGAGTACAACATTGGGGTCAGGTAAGTCTCTCTGGGAAGTTCATTCCACTATGGGGGTGCCACAGCAGAAAAGGCCCTTTACTTAGTAGCTTCCCACCCTGCTTCCTTTGGCAGGGGCTTCTGGAGATGACCCACCCCAAGTGCCTGGCCCAGCTGAAGCACCCTACCTTAGATGCTGGATTACCCAGGAAGAAGCAAAGCCACTTTTGCTGCAGATATTAAATGCTTTATTGACTACAAATATATTGATAGAACATGGATGCAGATTATAGCTAAGCAAGCAAAGCAAGGCTTCTGCACATGGCCCATTAGACCCACGGCTTCCTTGTACAAGGGAAGCAAAAGTGGAGGCACTGAACTGCCCAGAAACCTGAGCACTCCTGGTTTCACATGGAAAGCCAATTCTACCTACTCATGCTACAGACTTTATAGAGGCCTCCATACAGGGTAGAACGTGCCCAAAGCTGCCAGCTGAGAAGGAAAGTGGAACTGCAGGGTAGAAGGAAAGTGGAACTGACTAAGCTATCCTAGCTCATTCATATCTAAGAAAAGCCCAACATAGCCTGGCACCTGTTTATCACTGAGACCCTTCTCAGACTGCACAATTTCTGAAGAGAATTTAAGCCTGAAAGCTGTCTAGTCCGAGGCTTCTGATTAGACAGTACTGGGCATGGTGAACGGTTCATACTCTCGATAGTGTTGTCCTGTGACTCCCAATATAGCTGAGAGCAAGCTTAGGGTAGGTACTCAAGGGAGGAGATGATCCTTTAGGAAACCGGGTCCGAAGCCATTTAGGACTTTAAATGTAACACTTTCAATCCCGCCCAGATATGGATGGGCAGTGCAGATGGTACTGCCTTATAGCATCATGTTGGCCAGTCACTGTTAAGAATTTAAGGACATAAGCTATGCTGGATCAGACCAAGGTCCATCCCGTCCAGCACGCTGTACACCTGGTGGCAAACCAGCTGCCCACAGGATTGCTCAAGCAGGATGGGTGCAAGACCTCCTCCTGCCCGAATTCCTCAGTAGCTGGTGTATGCAGGCATGCCTCCTCTGCTAAAGGAGGTAGCACAGAGCCAGCAAGGCTAGGAGCCACTGATGGCCTCCTCCCTTATATATCTGTCCAATCCTCTTCTAAAGCCATTCAGAATGATGGGCATCAGCATTTCCTCTTGGGGGAGCTGCTGCAGCCCTCTGATCATTTTTGTTCTCCTATGCAATCTCGCTGTCCTATTTAGGAACATCTGAAGCTTGTGGAACATTCCCAAAGGGAGTCCCCACTTATAACACATTGTAGTAATCCGACTGAGAGGTTACCAGAAGATGGATAACTGCAGCTGGGCTATCTCAGTCCAGATAAGGAAGTAGTTGGTGTATCACTCGAAGCTCATATACGGTGCTCCATGCCACTGAGCCCCACTCTGCCTCTAGTGGCAATGTTGGATCCAGGAGCATCCCTGAACTACGAACCTAGTTCTTAAGGGGAGTGCAAACCACACCAGAACAGGTTGAATATCATTCATCCAGGCAGGTGAGTCACCCACCAACAGTTCCTCCGCTTTTTCTGGATGGAAACTGCATTAATTAGCCCACATTCAGCCCCTTACCATGCCCAGAGCAGCCACATGAATCAGAGCAGCCACTGTCTCACCTGGATTCGATGAAAAAGAAAGTGACAAAGCTGGGTGTCATTCACATATTGATTACACCTCAGCCCACACCTCTGGGCAGCCTCCCCAGAGATTCCATGTAGATGCTGAACGGTAGGAAGGCTGTAATAGAGCCCCATGGAGCTCCATAGCAAAGCTGCCACGTACAGAGCATTTATCACTTTCTGGAATTGGCCATCCATGGAGTGCTACTGAGTGGTCCAAGAGAACCAAGAGGGTTGCACTCCCCCCCACTCTCTCCTGGCAACCGTCATCCAACAGGTCTGGAAGTTTCTGTTCCAAAACCAGGGTTAAATCCCAATTGTAAAGGATCTAGATCAGGGGTCTCAAACTCAACTTACCTGGGGGCTGCTGGAAGTAGAGTCTGGGTGAGGCTGGGCCGCATCAAGTATTCCACCACTGCGCTGGTGGTGGGCCGCTCATCCCGCGACGCTCCCAGAGGCTGGCCCGGGCGCCGCCAGTGCTTTGAAGGCCACAGGGCCCCTCCCCCATGCCCCACCCATCCCAGCAATTGGCCCGCGGGCCGCGAGTTTGAGACCCCTGAGCTAGATCATCTGTGTTGTTCAAGAATGTTCGCAGTTGACTGGCAACAACTCTTTCAAACATCTGCCCCAGGAAAGGATTGTGCCTGCTGGCCTGTAGTTGTTATCATTGTCTGAGCCCAGGTTAGGCATTGTTTTAGAAGTGGGTTAATCACTGCTTCCTTTAAACAAGCTGATAACACACCTTCTCTCAAGGAGCAGTTTATAGCCTGCCTGGACCTAGCCTGATATCCCTCCCTATTGGAGATCATAAACCATGAAGGGCAAGGGTCATGCAAACAGATGGTCGATTGGACTTGGCCAAACACCTTGGGCACATCTTTGGTCCTCAACAGTTGAAATTCTTCCAATAATATTGGACCAGACAATTTTAGAGTCAGGGCAGCAATTGTAATTGTGGGGTCTTATTCCGTAAGGGCTTGAGATACCTTATCTTCAAAATGCCACACAAACATGTCATAGTGTGCTGCTGAGGGTTCCACTGATTGTAGGAGGCTACAAGCCACCTGAAAAAGCTCTGTTGGAAGACACTGGGAAGGTGCAATGGTGGTGGAAGAGCATTCCCCCTTTGCTGCCCTCACTGCTATGGAACAACCTTCACAGTGAGTGCTAACCGGTGTCCAGTCAGATTCATCACAAGTCTTACTTTACTTGCATTCTAGTCATCTTCCTTCTTTCTTCATTGCCCAAAGCTCAGGTGTACACCAAGAATCCTGGCTTTGCTCAGAGGGAGATGGTGCATGGATGCACCTTCTGCCTGATTCTTCTCTGCTTTCCACAGTGACCAGGACATCAATGAGCTCTTCGGTCATACGAGCAGGAAAACCACCCAGCACCCTCTGGAAGCCATGGGAATTCATAAGCTCCTGTGGGTGAACCACTTCAACAGCCCCCACTCTTGCAGAGGGGGAAAAACACTGAAATCTAAAACTTCAACAGGAAGAGATCCACCCACAACAATGGGACAGATATTAATTCTGATCACTTTCTGATCACCATCCTTCTGCCCAGTCAAGAAAACCATATCATGTGTCTATCTTCTTACACAGTAATATGCTGAGAAAGCCCCATGGTTGTCATGAGGCTGAGACCCAGAGCTTCCCTAAATCTGACAGCCTCAGCAAGGAATTGAAATCCATGGGGTCCTTGCAAGGGGCTTCCTTTGTAAGACCTGCTTACAGAAGTCTCTGTGGCTGAACTATTCTGCAATATGGCTCTTCTCTGCTTGTGACCCAATAGAGCCTGTCTTGCAAACTTTCCAATAAGTTTCCCAGCTGAACTTTCTGCTCTTGCAACTTTACAATTCTGGGCCAGGAAACACCACATGGAGCAGCAAAAATGGCAGGAGGATCAATCCACCTTCCAAATTATTCCTTTGATCGCTCCTCAAATGCTGCCCTATTTCAAGGGGTATCCTTCAAGCCCCAAACAACACAACTTTGTCAACCAAGGAAAAAGCAGTATCTTACCAACAGCATCTTCAGTTTATTCCCTTGGTTTACTGCAAGTATTTCTCTGCTGTCCTTCTCTCTCTTCAACATGGCCAAATGGTGCTGAACCTGAACCTGTCAAAAGTGACCATAGATGGCTTTGAAGTCTTTTCTGCAGTGAGGCATTCTGGTTTCCCTAACCCTAACAGCGACTTTAGGGAAACCGACCCATCACAACCCCATGGACAACATTCCTCCAGGCCTTCCTGTCCTCCACCATCCCCCAGAGTCCACTTAAGCTCACACCAACTGCTTCAGTGACTCCATCCAGCCACCTCATCCTCTGCCGTCCCCTTCTTCTTTTGCCGTCAGTTGTTCCCAGCATTAGGCTCTTCCCCAGTGAGTCCTTCCTTCTCATTAGGTGGCCAAAGTATTTGAGTTTTATCTTCAGGATCTGGCCTTCTAAAGAGCAGTCAGGGTTGATCTCCTCTAGGACTGGTTTGATCGCCTTGCAGTCCAAGGGACTCACAGGAGTCTCCTCCAGCACCACAGTTCAAAGGCCTCAATTTTTTGGTGCTCAGCCTTCCTTATGATCCAGCTTTCACAGCTATACATTGCAACTGGAAAAAGCATACCCTTGACTATACACACTTTTGTTGGCAGGGTGATGTCTCTGCTTTTTAGTATGCTGTCTAGATTTGCCATAGCTTTCCTCCCAAGGAGCAAGCATATTTCTTGGCTGCAGTCCCCATCTGCAGTGATCCTGGAGCCCAGAAAAATAAAAACTGTCACTACATCCATTTCTTCCCCGTCTATTTGCCAGGAAGTGATAGGACCGGATGCCATGATCTTAGTTTTCCTAATGTTGAGTTTCAAGCCAACTTTTGTGCTCTCCTCCTTCACCCGCATCAAGAGGTTCTTTAGTTACTCTTCATTTTCTGACATTAGAGTGGTATCATCTGCATATCTGAGGTTATTGATATTTCTCCCAGCAATCTTAATTCCAACTGGTGATTCATCCAGTCCCACCTTTCTCATGATGTGCTGTGCATATAAGTTAAATAGGCAGGGCGACAGTATACAGCCTTGCCAAACTCCTTTCTCAATTTTGAACCAATCCGTGGTTCCATGTCCAGTTCTCACTGTTGCTTCTTGACCCGCATATAGGTTTCTCAAGAGACAAATAAGATGGTCTGGTACTCCCATCTCTTTAAGAACTTGCCACAATTTGTTGTGATCCACACAATCAAAGGCTTTAGCATAGTCAATGAAGAAGTAGATGTTTTTCTGGAACGCCGTAGCTTTCTCCATGATCCAGCGTATGTTGGCAGTTTGATCTCTAGTTCCTCTGCCTCTTTGAAACCCTGCCTGTACTTCTGGTAGTTCTCGGTCAACATACTGCTGGAGCCTAGCTTGTAGGATTTTGAACATAACTTTGCTAGCATGTGAAATGAGTGCAATGGTGCGGTAGTTTGAACATTCTTTGGCATTGCCCTTCTTTGGGATGGGAATGTAAACTTTTCCAATCCTGTGGCAACTGCTGCCATATTGAGTGTAGCACTTTTACTGCATCGTCTTTTAGAATTTTGAATAGCTCAGCTGGAATAGTGTCTTCTTCAGTAGCTTTGTTGTTGCTCAGACTTCCTAAGACCCATTTGACTTCACATTCCAGGATGTCTGGCTCGAGGTCAGTGGCCACCCCATTGTGGTTATCAGGGACGTTAAGCTCTTTCCTGTATAGTTCTTCTGTGTAATCTTGCCACCTCTTCTTAATCTCTTCTGCCTCTGTTAGGTCCCTGCCATTCTGGTGCTTTATCCTGCCCATCTTTGCATGAAATGTTCCTTTATATCTCCAACTTTCTTGAAGAGATCTCTGGTCCTCCCTATTCTATTGTTTTCTTCTTTTTCTTTGCACTGTTCATTTAAGAAGGTATTCTTATCTCTTCTAGCTATTCTCTGGAATTCTGCATTCAGTTGGGTGTATCTTTCTCCCTTGCTCCCTTCTCCCTTCTTTCCTCCGCTATTTGTAAAGCTTTCTCAGACAGCCATTGCACTTTCTCGCAAAAACCTGGAAGGCGTATCTCCCATAATCTCCAGGAAGCATGGCCGATAGCAAAGGGCTCTGGGAGTTGTAGTCAGGAAGAATTTAGAGGGCGCCAAGTTTTGGAGAACTTGCCGAAGTCTGATTTCCGGAGAATCCAAGCCCCCAAATTCATGTGAGCAAGATGCCTAATCCTAATCCCTAAACTCCCGTCACCCCTAAACCTTAAGAAGGACGCTGGACGTTACCGGGATCAGGTACCAGAGAAAACAGGACCTTCTCTTGCTAGCAGGGAGCGCGAGTGTTTACCTTGAACTCCTCAGCCGCCTCCTCGACGGGGACCACCATGTGGGCTCGGTGCTCCTTGGACCGGACGCAAACCACGCAGATCAAGGCTGTGTCTTCCATGCAGAATAATTTCAGCACTTCCTGGTGCTTCTGGCACATCTCCTGCTGGCAGTCCCACCGATCGCTCCCGCCTGCTGCTGCCGCCGGCGCTGGGCCCGGGGGCGCGCTGCATGGGTCCAGGATCGAGGCCATCTCCCTGGCCCGCTCGGCCACCTTCCCCAGCTGTGTGTTCGGCCGGAGCTCGCCCGGCCTCGAGCGCACCTTGCACTGAGGGCAAGCGAAGCTGCCGCCGAGACCGGCACAGGACGTGCTGATGCAGGTCCGGCAAAAGTTGTGCTGACAGGTGAGGATTACTGGCTCGGTGAAATAGTCCAGGCAGATGGGGCAGAAGAGCTCTTCGTGCAGCGCCCTAGTAGAGCTGGCGGCCGCCATGGCTGCCCCGGAGAGGAAGAAAGGCGAAGAGACGTTGCTTCCTGCTGGCCCCGCTCCACAAAGCCAGGCCCTTTGCTAAGAGCTTCCAAAATAAACGAACGCGTAAATAACCCTCCCCTTATTTGCTAGAACATCTAGTCCGAAGACGTCTGTGTAACCTGAAATTTCACATGATAAAATTGTAACACTGGTCTGCAATTTTAACAATTATTAGTAATAAAAATAGAGATGATAGTCTTATCACCAAGTTTTTGATTATCAAATATTATCAAAATATAATCAAAAGTTCTTGATGTATCTGTATTAAAATTTAAGAGATGTTAAAGTCCTAGTCAGGCTACTTATGTGAGGTTAAGCAAAAGAAAGCAGTATGTAGATGCAACCAAAATCCCAGGCAGTGTTCCAGGGGCTATCAGATGCAGTGGTAATGTGTTTAGGGCTGGAGATAGAGGGCCAGCCCTATCAAGCCATTGCAGAAAACTGCAGCAGCTTCTGCTCCCCAGATCTGAGCTCCATCCTCAGCAGCAGAGAGGGAGAGGGACTGGATTCATTGGCCATGTAGCATATATCTGCCCATGGCACAAGTGGGAAATTAAAGAGTCTTGGGGGCCATCTAATGGAGAACCCTTTCCTGAAAGGCAAAGAAACAAAAATGTATCCCGTTTTTCTCTTGCGGTGTTAGGAGCTTGACATGGCTTTGGATGGACAGAAGCTTCTGAGATTGCAGTGCTCTGTTGTTTAATCTGGGATCCCATAGGATTGTGCTCTTAGTTGTGCTTTTAGTGTAAAGAATCAGCACCTTCCCTCCAACTGTGAATGGGACAGGTCAAAATCTAAAATCTGGACAATGAAGGGTACATTCTGATAGGGAAGGCGACCAAGGATAACTGATAATACAAATGTGGGACAAGATACCAAGTCCAGTCCTTGGCAATGCCAGCTGAAGGGTATCAAATCAAAAGGATGGGAAAGGCAAGTTTGGAACCTTGGTTAGACTGCATAATGCAGTTCCATTTTTCTGTTGTATCTTTATGCAATAGCAGCATCTGGAGAGCCCAGTGCTTCAAGGGTTCCATCAGCTATAGGCAGGGGACAAGTTCTGAGACTTCTTGGATTACAGCACTCCAGCCAGAATGGCCAGTAGGAGTTGTAGCCCCAAACATCTGGAGGGCAGCAGTTGAAAGACTGCTCCAAGCATGCTGGCTTAGGGATGTACAGATGTTGAAAAGTCCATTCCATCCGTTTTGCAGGTGATCAGCTGTTTTTTGTTCTCTCATCTACTCTTTGGCAGAATTGGGTTTATTTAAAGGCATTCTTGTGCAACTGCACACATTCAAAGTTCCACAAATCTGGAAATTTCCCAAAATGCTCACATTCCCTCTGCCCCCATATACAAATGCCCCTAAAAGCATATTTTCATGCTTTAGTCTATGGGGATAATGCACATTTTATTGTTTTTTTAACTGGTAGTTTCCTTGACTAAATGTATGCAAAATTAAATTGGTATTTAATTGGTATTTTATTTGACGAAATGTGTGTAAAATAAAAAAGATGGTTCACAAGTCTGCAAAGCCTGCACAGCTTCAGTCCGCTGTGGAGCCTATAGGTCAGATTCTTAAGCTTGGTGTGGATTTTTCTGACATCCCTATTGCTTAATGCTGCTCCCTAGCAGTGAGCTGTCTATGGTGCTGAACTCTTGCCCTGTTTGTCCCAAAGACTTCAGCTTTCTCCTCTCTCCAACATCTTCACCATTCTACAGTTCTCATTTAGAACACAATTAATTCACTTGCAGAATCTTCAAAGATACTAGAGTACAAGACACTCCAGATACTTTAATACAGAGTGAAATGGCAAATTACATAATTTTACATTTCAGGTCCTGGCATGGCGATTGGTTCCAATTAAGCAGCCAACAGAGATGTACACAAGTTTCTGCCCAATCCTTCTCAAATGATGCGCCCCAGGGGTCCCTGGGGTACAGCCATTGGCAGAACCTTGTGCAGAAACCTGGGCAGTCACAGATGCAGGTGTACACCCATGGCAGCTTTTTCCACAGTGAGAGAGCAACAAATTTTTCAGCATCTGTGGTTATGACAATGACTTATGGGTAGCCAGTGGCTATCCCCACTGACAGCCAGGGTTACAAGTTAGAGAATCCTTGGGAAGAATCTGACATGGTGCTCAGAGACCACATCAAACACTTGAAATGGCCCACAGCATCCAAGATGCAGGAACAATGTGTGGTTATGCCGCAGCGCAATGTTGACCTCTGGTGGCTGGAAGAGATATTACACATTCCAATGGCCCACAATTCCATGGGCAGCAGGAAAGACTGGCACGGATGACTGCTGGAGAGAAACTTCTCTTCCGCGGGCTCCATGATTAGTGAGGCATACCAGTTGACTGATGCTTCTGGAATTCAACCAGAGTTCAAGTCAGTGTGTTGACTGCAGCGGACAGGGCAAAAAAAAAAAAAAAAAATTGATGGCTGAGAGCCATGTAACCCTTCCAACATCTTCCTCCATGCTTAGTCCCCATAGCTCCCCAGTGCAAAACGAACTCTGCTAGTTCTCAGGACTCAGCCCTCTCAGCAGACAATCCTTGCCTTCTAGCCATCTTCTGGAATGTTGCTGTGGCAAGTTCTATTTGTTCCAGCTCTGACTGAAACAATGAAACCTGTGAGGAAAAAATAGATGTTATTTGTCACCAAGTCGACTAGCTAAAATGTTTCCAAATATGTCAAATAGATGTTGGAAATGTAAACATAAAGTGGGTACTTTTTATCATATGTGGTGGACTTGTGATAATGCAAAGAAGTACCGGATTAAAATACATAGATGGATGGGGGAAATATTACAAAAACCCCTTGCTTTTAAACCCGAAGTTTTCTTGTTAGGCATCATACCGGAAGATGTTAACAGACAGGAAATGTATTTGATGCTGCATCTAATTACAGCGGCGATAACTGCATTTGCTCAATATTGGAAAAGTGAGGAGCTGCCCACCAATGGATTGATTGTAAGAAAGATCTTGGACTGTGCAGAATGGATAGACTGACTTTATCGTTGAAGGAGAAAGAGGATACTGATTTCTATCGAACTTGGGATTCTTTCTATAATTGGCTGGAGAAACGGGACCTGGCATAAATTTAGTGATGTTTTTCAAACTAGTATAAATTGATATGAATTTGATATTAGAATGTTAAAAAATATGTAGTAGGAGGTTGACCCAGTGAATCCAATGTTTGTGATGCTCAATGTCTTTTTAGTGTTAGTTTAAAAAAAATTTCTTTTTATTTATTTATTTATATATGTATGTATGTATGTATGTATGTATGTATGTATGTAAAAGAAATCTGTGTGGAAAAGGAGAAGATTAAATAGATAATGCATTGCATCAACCTGTAAAAACAGGCAATATACTCGTGACTGGCCCAGGGTATTCAGTGACCTTGGTGATTGAGCAGAGATTTGAATCTGGGCTTTCCTAGTTCCAAGTCCTATATTCTGACCTCACATATGAAGAATGAGCAGTGCTCATAAAGCCCCCGCACTCAGCATCATCCTGGAAATATCAGCTTTTGGCAGACAGCTAGATAGGTAGCTAGCATAGGCTTGTGAGGTTTTTCCAAAACCATAAAGACTAGAACCTTGAGATTCCCCACAGAGGCTCGACTGATGTCTTCTTTATGGTATTCAGAGCACCAGGTAAAAAAGCTGCTTTTAAATTCTCCCAAACCTTTAAAACTCTGCAATCCTAATTTTTAATTCACTGCTTATCTGTTCAGTATAAATGCTACAAGTGTTTTAGGAATATCCATATACTGTTAGCTGGTCCTTACAGAGAACTTTTCCCTGCAAACCCCCCACCCCACCCCAAACTGGTAGTAAGTAGTCAGTACCTTTTGTTGGTGATCTGATTTTGTTTTTAAGGAGGCCTCTTTCTGATATTTGGCCCCCTGAACCCGCGCTGTGAGATCCGCCAGCTGCTCTTCCAGTTTCTGTTGCCGAGATGCCAATCTGAGGAGCTCCCTTTGGGGGTCAACCAATCCCTACAGTGGCAGAAGAGTCACAGGTGCCCTGTGAGTGCAAAGGTGCAAACCTCTTTCCTGCCACATCCCAGTATCCCATATTCAGGCAACTCCACTCTCACTGCCCGAGAACAGACCAAGCCAGTCTAGCCTCTGTCCATCTGATACTGGCAGCAATCTTCCCACCCTGCATTTCACTTGGTCACCATCTTTCCAGATTTTCCCCATGCACCTGTTTTAATGCCGGAGATGCCAGATTCAGCTCTTACTTGCAGATCCACACAGACGGTGGTGTGATACTTTGTCCTGGCAGTGATGCAGCTCTCTGGTGGCTGTACTGCCTCGGAATCAGGGAGGAACCTCAGAGATCCAGCCAAGGACAGAGTCTGCAGCGGTTCCCGATATTTCTCGTAGACACCAAGGGGAGCTGCCTCTGGGCAAACCAGATACACTAAAAGAGAGGCAGAGAAAATTATCATACAGACTCTGCCCTTGTAGCAATGGCAGGGAGGGGACTGGATAGACACGGTGCATTGCATGATGGGCAGCCTCCTTTCCACTGCTGGCTAGGCATTGCACTATGAGGGCAACAGATTTCCATACGGAAATGCACACTGAGACAGTGCAATTCTGAAAACTGGGCTTGTTAATGCTACAGAAACCAGGAGTAAAAGCCACATATTTCCCATTTTGAGAAACTGCTTCAGCAAGGGATAAAAAAACAAGATGGGTGCTCTAACCACTAAGCCATGCCAGCCTCCAATATGGTGGCACCCCTTCCAGACACAAAGGAGGAGAGGACAGCATCATTATGTCACACAGAACTCTCAGATAAGAAATCACAATGGTTCCTCTAGAAAAATCCTTTTCGCATGTTCTTGCCAAGTGTTTGCTGAATGAGTGCGGGGAGCAGCTCCACATCTGCAGGATGCTGTGGGCTTCCTGGCTCAGCTCCACAAGGACCGTGCAGCTGGAGAGAGGTCTGGACAAGGAGGATATCCACAAAGGCTCCTCCACACCGCCAGACTGCTGGTCACTCCTTGGTCCTTGTGCAACGGTTGGCTCTCCTTTCAGACTGTTGGCAGAGCAGAGGGAAATCAGTGGTGTGTGGATGCCGGGGACACGGTGTCACTCCCCACTGCACGTTTGGTGGCCAAAAGGAGGACACTGAAGGGCTCGGGTGGAGCTAGAATCGGTGGACGCACAGATGCGATCCAGTCAGCCATGGAAAAGTAGTGCATAACCATTTACAAGACAGCTGATGCATAACCAGCCCTTTGGCACTTTAGTGAGCCCACCATACCTAATGGAAAATGAACCTTTCTTTTAGAGAATAATGTTGAGCAGGCCTCACCTGCTGGCCGAGCTTTGGTAAGTTGGTAAGTTGCCCTCAGGGCACGCACAGCTCTGATGACTTCTTGTACTAGCAGGAAGTTTGCCTCTTCCTCAGGATGGCACCAATGAGCCTAGAAATGGGGGAAGAAACAGGACGCACCTGAGAAGTTATTTTCTAGTAGTCTAGAGCTCTGCACTAGATGTTACTGTGATTCACTCAGTGTGAGGAATTCAAAATAGATGTTGGGAATGAAGGGGGCTGTTATTCTTGGCACACATTCCAAAGTCAAGCTGATTTGGACTCATCAGATGAGGAGGGACCCTGGGAGCCAGTCTTCTTGGACACTGAAATGGGGAGAAATAGAGGGGCTTTATTCTCCACCTTAATCCACCTGAGCACCTGGGGAGGGTGCCCTTGAGATGTTGAGAATAGAAAGGATTGACAACTGCAGAGAGGGGGTGCCAGCTGAGCCTGGCAAAACTCTTCAACTCACAATGTGACCACCTAAAGGGATGATGGACCGAGAAGAGGACTGCCCATCTCCAAAAGGATATACCAGAGGGAAGGGCCCTGGGGTACTCAAAAGGAGGATGCTTGGAAGCAGCTGCTAGGCTGGGTTCAATTAGCCACTCTGTGCATGCTCAGAGGTTCATTCTTTGTTGGTTGTGCTTATTGGAAGTGCACTGGAGAATAAAGTGGTTTGCCAAAGAATGGCTTGTTGCTTTGGAAGTGCAAAGCAGGAATTCCAACTCACAACCATAGGACGAATAGGAAGGAGCAGGGTTTGTCTGAAGGAATAGGAGCTGCATAAGTCAACCTTGCATGTGAAAAGGACACAAGTGAGCCCTGAATCATGCCAAAATCAAGATTCAGAATTGATTTTCAGAAAGGGACTCACCAGGTGCTCTGTGTTTGGGCATCTGGCCACACAGATGCTGGGAGGTGCTTGGGAGCTGATCTTGGGCAGCCGCTGCCAGAGCTCCTCTGAAAGGAAAGGCATGAAGGGAGACAGGAGGCGCAGAGCCAAGTCCACGCAGCTGTGCAGGGTATGGCGGGTGGAGAGGAGTCGAGCTGGATCTCCGCTCCTCAGTATGGGTTTCACAGACTCCTGTACAGGCAGTGACAGTAACATTACTTCAGCTTGTAAGGAAAAGACACCACTCATTGAGTCTGTGATTGCTTTAGTGTAGAAAGCACCCTATTTATTTGGCCTGCTGTCAGTAAAAAAAATTCCAGTAGAAATGTAGGTCTCTAGTCCATCTGCCTCCACACTGTCTGCATAGACTGTGAACAGCTCTCCGAGGCTTTAGGTAATGCTATTTCCAGACTTACCTAGAGATGCAGGGGATTTTCTGTATGTAAAGCATGCGCCATGCCACTGAAAATGTGCAAAATCCCCACACTTTAGAGATACCCCCCTCCAATCCTGAACGGGCACTTTTGCTTCTATTACAGCCTGTGACACTGCTAGAAGCAGCTAGAATTGAGTTGCACAGGAAGCTCACCAGGTAGACATCGCAGAAATTGTGCAGCCAGAAAAGATGGACTGAAGAAGCGGCAGAATGCAGCTCATACTCCTCAAACTTCTGGGCACAGACTTCTGCTGTGTGATAGAGGTGACTGAGGATCCACTTCTCCATTGGGGAGCTTGGGAAAACCTGGAAGGAGACATAAAGGAATGGCACCAGAGGTCCAGTTTCTTGGATTGTATATCCCACCTATAGTGAACTTCTCGGCAGTGCACATGAGGGTCCCGGCCGGCTCTCCCATCTAGGTGTTAACCAGATGCAGACCTCCGATGCTTCAGCATGGCTGTTGCACTATGTGGCCTCAGCCTATGCCCTGACTTGACTTCACTGCTCCCCTTCTCCCAACCTGCTTCCTTCCAACCTGTGTAGAAGAGCTACAAGCTGGAATTAGCAGCCCTCTTTCCTAAGGGCTACAACCTGATCAGTTCAGTTTAAGGCTGCAATCCAAGGTATAGTCTTTTCAAGCAAATCCCATTGAGCCTAATGAGATTACTTCTGAATAAACATGTCCAGGAACTGTATGTACAGCAGGACACCTCCATCCATGGGGATAAATTCCAAGCCCCACAAGGGGATGCCTGAAACTGCGGATAGTAGTGAGGGCTATATGTACTATATACTGTACCTATGCATTTCTTTTTTCACAATTTCCTGGACAGAAGATTTGTTCTTATCATACATCCTAGCAGCCTCAGCATTTCATTTTTCCCCTCTTTCCTTATTAATTCGAGAATTTTTACTTAAAGCTTTCACCTTACGACTTCTCTTTGACACTTTACAACTTCCCTTTTGGACCAAGGTTAATCACAGTTAAGTGAAAAAACAGTAACCGAGCCAGTGAATACAGGGATCCTGCTGTATTTTCATATTTAGTCTAGCTCAGTCTTTCCTGCCAATTAGAGGTCTATTGGACTACAACTCCTATCAACCCTAACAAACGAGCATGCTGGATGTGAATGGCTCCTCTTAGGATGCAAGTTTTGAGCAGCTTGCCTAGAGCTGTAAGGATATGCAATTTCTCCAGAAGGCCTCCGTGTTGTCGTCCCTCCTTTACGCAGAACAACAAAAGATAACACAATGTCCTCTGCTGTCACAACCACCCACATCCCCAGGTACCTCCTCTGGATCCAGTGGAGCAAACCCATCTCCTAGGGCTGCCAAAGTAAACTTCAGAGCATTCCACACCTTGTTGCAGAAACGATTGGCATTCTCCACTGCAGCTACGTCCAGGTTGATGCTGTCTCCTGAGACGGGGGTGCATGCCATCAGCCTTTCTTCGCAAGTCAGCCCAACCCCGCTCCCCCCACACAACTATTATAAGGCTCAACTGAAGTCAGGTGCTTGCAGTTCATTCCTTTTAAGTCACTTAATTTCTTACTTCACATTAAAAGAAGTGTTTGCATCTTATCTTTGCAAACACTCATAGTTTATTGTCAGAGTAAAATACAATAAAACTGCTATGGTTCCTTTCTGCTTGGCTCAACATTATGAGAGAAAAACTATTTCTTATTTTCTTATGGTGGGTTGCATCACTTATCCTGCTTTTGAAAAGATCCTCTCACTACTTAAAGTGTGCTCCTGCATACAAATAGCTATTCCAGAAACTTTTCCGATTTGGGGTGTGAGAAGGGATGTGACATCAAACTAGAACTGCAGGAGTGGAAATGGGCATAATCTTGTCAACTGAAGTCTGCAGAGACCATATTCAAGTGAACTTGGCAGACCCAGATCTGTGCTCTTGCCCACTGGAGACAAGGCCTTCTCAGTGGTGGCACTTAGATTCTGGAGCCAGCTCCCTGTGGAAGAGTCACATAGCTGCTGTGTGGATTTCAGGCTGCAAGGTATAACCTTACATTTGCAGGAGGCTTTAGTGGAGGGGATGTTCTTGCTTTTTCTTACTAGTTTGTATATTTTCCTGTTACTATGATGGTTCTGTTGAATTTGAAGCATATTTCCATGCAACCTTTCCAAGTGTTGAAGGAACTGTTTCAGTGTAGTTCATTTGTCTTCCTTTTTTTTCATAATTTAGATGCAAGCTGCCTTGTAGATAATTTCATGGAAAAGATTAGGATTAGGGCATATTTAATACATAAATACCTAAAGCCACCTACTCAGGGAATTTACTCTTAGACCATGGGCCTGGAGTCATTCTTCCTTTCAGCCTAGCTTGCCTGAGGGGGCTGTAGTGAAGGTACAATGGGATGACCCCATGTAGACCAACCTGGACATCTTGATTGGCAAAAGGGTGGGAAACATGTGAGAAACAGTCAGTCATTTGTCCAGCAAGCTCCTGCTAGATCTCCCCAAAGTAATTTTATACCAAAACCACCATGAGGCAAGTGTGAACTTCACTACATTATGGGCTTAGGAAGAAAAACTGTAATATTTAATTCCCACTAGCCAAGCACTTTTTCTGGTCCTTCAGTGGTTGTAGAGATTATGCTTCTTGGGGAATGGAGATAAAGGGGCCAGTTTCTCACCTTGGGCACAGTAGGAGCAGAGAGCAAACCTTAGAGCATCAGCGCCACATTCAGGGATTCCTTGGGGGAAATTTCGCCGCTGGAAAAGAGCAGAGGGCAAGGCAGGTGAGAACATGCAGGAAACCCAGAAACAAATGGGGTGAGGCGGGGTGGGAAGGGGCAGGACTCACCTGACCTTCCATCGCAATGGCAACCTCTCGTGGATCCAAATTACTCTTTTGAAGGTTTTCTTGTAGGACCTAAAGCAGGAGGGCAAATTTGGAAAGAGGAATAGGCAGAGATCATGGGGCATTGCCAGTCACTCTCCCAAGGACTTCCCCACCAGTTGCACAGTTTCTTTCACAGGGCAAACTAAATATTCTGCATAGCGCTATACCCAATTAGGTACATTCTGAGATAGACTTTGACATCATGTTTTATGTTTATTTTTATATCAGGTTTCTAGACCTCATGACTGTAAAGGAAATCTTAGAAACCAAGAGGCTCAAAATCGCTCTGATTTATGGAGAAGACAGTGAAATACAGGAAATATGGAGATGAGATCAATTGCTATAAAGGAGCACCTAACACTGCAATCTCACACATGTCTACTATTCCAGAGTAAGTGGACAAAGAATTGCAGCCTAATCCCATGAGCCCTCCTCGAGGTGGAGGGAACAAAGGGTACTCCAGGGAGTAAACAGAAAGCCTGGTTCCAACTTTCTGAATGGGAAATACCTGCAAAGGGGCCCCGCGGACCACATCCAGGGGGTCAATCACATTCCCAAGAGATTTACTCATCTTCCTGCCGTGAGCATCGCAGACCATCGAGTGAAGCATGACCTGAAGCAGAGGCGGAGCAGAACAGACATTTGTGGGGCTCTGTCAGTGATCACCATGCCAAGTCAACCAACAACCATGTGCCCTATTCTTCCAAAAACAGCATTACTTCACGCAGAGCTGAGCTCTCGCACACAGAAGTCGTGTTTGCATCAGCAGCGTGTCTTGGACTGACTGTGTATTCCTTGCTCCATCCCATGTCCTACCATGGGTTCAGTGCTCAACTTCTCAAGTTCTTTGAATGAAAATTAGTGCCTCATTAAGCACTCATTAAGTGATTACTTGTTCCTGGACATACATCTTACATACTGTCCCCAACACCCCTCTTTGCCTTCAGAACACTTTTTTCTTTTTAAAAAAGGCTAATCTAAATTCGTACATATTCACTCAATAACACAAGCACCAGACAGTGATTTATTCATTTTTCAGGACAGCATAGCACGTTTTCTGACCTTACATACCACCAATGAGATTGCAGTACCAAAGAGAAAGCCTCTGACCTATTTTTTCACCCCTCTGTAAAGCTAGTTGGAGATAATTTTGGAGGGATATTTTGCACATACTTAGCAACCGTATGCACAAACAAGGCACAAACAACCGCAAGACAACCCAGAGAGGAAGGAGAACAAACTGTAACAATAAGACAACTCGGCACCCTGGTATAATGGCTTTACATTGGTTTGTGCATCACCCAATTATAGGGCTGTCAGAGATATCTGCAACAGATTCCGATGAGTTTGGATTTGAACTTTGACCTGAACTCTGACCCAAAAATTCTTCAGTGGACCAGCTTTTTCTGAGCCACCTGGATACTATGGCCTTGTGGACTGTGTTTTTCCCCACTTGTGGGGGGGGATTTCTTGTAATCCAAATCAGGACTAATTCATATTAACTAATTCAACTGTCCCTAATCCACTGTGAGCCACCATGGTTTTCTTTCCCAAACAAGCCTACAGTCTGTGGTCAATTGCAGTCTGTGGTCAATTTTAGAAGACATAGCGGTGTAGGCAAAAGGCCATTCTAGCCCCACCTTTACAAGCCAGACAATTAAGAAATGCTATGTAATAAACTAGTTTGAATTCAATAAGGCAGATAATGGGGATCTGTCAGTCAACACAGTATGGCCATCCTGGAATGAAACCCTTGTCGCTCTCACTCTCAGGAAGACAGAATAAAGCAACAGAATCCAAACAAGAACTCAAAAGCATAGTAAGGATTCATTTATAAAACCGCATCAAGAAAAATGAAATTGCAAGGGGCAAATTGCCATCAACCCACAAAGGGCTGGGTTCACATTCAAGCCAAGTCTAAGTGGTGGCAATCAAGTATGCTAAATGAATTGGTGGTTAGAGGGTCACCTTGCTTCTGTCTGTCCCATAGATTCTATGACAATACCTGCCGAATACCAGCCAGGGTGACTTATTTTATAATGCTACTATGTTTTATATTTTTAGTGTTTTATATTTTAACTGTTGTTTTGTAAGCCGCCCCGAGGCTTCGGCGAATGGGGCGGCATAGAAATTTTTAAATAAATAAATAAATAACTGCAGCACAAGATTTCTAGCATGCAGCCCATACCTGAGAGAAAGGCAGCTTTCCAGTTAGCTGTTTTCCCAGCATCACCATCCGGGCCACCCAGAAGAACAGCAGGTCACTCCCTGTCTCCAAGAGGCTATTGGGATAGAACTGCTGGAGGTCTCCTGTCTGGGGGAGACAGAAGCAGCCCACATATCAGTACGTGGTCTACAGCGGACCTAGAGGAGCATCCCTTCCCTGCTCCCTCCCAGCCACCTGACTTTTGCCTGTGCCAGGTTCAGGAGCCACAAATCACTCAAGCGCCAGTGGAGCTCAGATTTGATGAGAAACTAGGAGATCTGGAACACAGACGCACTGGGAAGTCTTGCCTGCATCCCAGTGCCCAAACTCTAATATTGGGAAAATATGAAGCTGGTTTATTGAGAAGGAAATGGAATAAAGACCACGAGGTGCTGCAAAATCAAGAACAGCGATCTCTTGATTTTTCTCCAAGATGTGAAGGTAAAACAGACAAAGTGCAAGGTGAGAAGAATTACATGAGCACTGCAATGGCACCCACTAAAACCAGAATCCTCCAGTTTGCTACCTTCTCCCAAGGAACAGTGACCTGCCCTGGCAACTCCAGATTTGGTAAGCCATTGCGTGAGCTGCCTTCAGAGGCTGGCCCCTTCTTCTCCATCTTATAGCTACTGTGTATTCATTGGACCACGGCTTCCAGCATCCCCAGCCAGTGCAGCCAGTGTTACTCACCTGATGGGGCCAGCCCAAAGCAGCAAAGGGGAAGAGGCCAGAGGAGAACCAAGTGTCCAGGACATCAGCATCTAGCAAAGGGAGAGGCAAAAATCAATCTTTCCTTGCAAATGCCACTGCATGAAGTATCAAAGTAAGGGTGTTTTGGACTCAAATTGCTTAGAAAACAGGAAATGTGAGGTGCTTGGCATAAATGAATCCAGTTTAAAGCCAGGAGATACACAGGGGAGAGTTCTCACTCCCCAGGCCAGAGGAACAGTTTACCCAGGCCCTGCATTTTTCCAGAAGGCTGTGCCAGCTGCCTCTTTCCTGTAAAGGCTTGAAAAGGGGAGCAAGATAGCTCTGGGGTGCTCTTAGTGGTGGGGAGACAGAGTTATTTGGCCAGGTGGTTGACTAGGATCTCAGCCACTATTTTGCAAGGTGCTCTTAAAGCAATGCACAGAATTCTCCCTGTATTTGATAGCATGAAAGACCAGGCCAAGTGAAATGGAGATGAAGAGCAGTAATGCAAGACAGAGAGGACTAATGGCAAGTTTCATTACAGCCACGAGCTTTTCAAGTATTACCTGGCATGGACCCAGAAACTCAGGCACCCACCCTCTTCCAGAATGGGGAGTACCAGTATGGTTGCTTTACCTCTCACCAGCTCTAGGTCCTCTTCTGATTTTCCCAGCATGCTCACTGCTTTCTTCTGAGCCTCTGCTTCAGTCCTGCCCACTACCCATAATTCCTCGTTCTTCTGCTGCACATAAATGGAAGCTTGGGAAACACTGTGGAAGGAGCTGAAGGAGCCCAAGATCCCCATGCCCCAGAGTCAGCCACTTGCCTCTGTGGCGTGCCCATACTCAACCACGCCCACACTCACCTCCGCTCTGGGAGATGGCCCAGGAACTGAGACGCGGTAAGCTGGAATCTGATGTCCCCACCACAGCTGGCGAGAAATACACCAGTCCCTAAGGAAGCAAACATCAGATTGATACTGTTCAGATTTTAAGAACTTAACAGATGTTAAAATCTAGCACTATCAATCTGAGATAGGAATTTAAGGTCTGTTAAGACTGTTAGGATCTTAAAACAGAAGATCTCTGCTTAATTAAATTGAAGGTCTGTCTAGCTAAAGAGTAACCAGCCAGATGCCAGGGAGAACAGAGGCGCATGCAGCACATCAATCGTGCAATTTACACTACTTTTGAGCACTGTAGGCTCCCTGTAGGCTAAAAACTGATATGTGGTTTATGCATAAATCTCCTCTGATTTACATATAGTCTTCACATACAGAGTCCAGCATCCTGAGAAGTTCAGCTTCCAGTTAACAATCCAAACAAAACAAAACAAAACAACCAACAGGCCAAAACAAGCCATGTGTGAAGACCTCAGGGTTTAAAGAACAGCTTCAGTACTTTGGAAGCAACAAGCATCCCCAGAATGTGACTGACACACTCCCTTCCCAACCGGGGCCCTCTAGTTCCACTACAGAAGGTCCCATGAATTACCAAAGACACTCCACAGCAGAAGGCTATTTGGGAACCCTTTGTGGCGGAAGTCAGAGTAGCAGCTGGCAATCAGGATGTGGACCAGAGAGCTCAGGTGCTTGTTCAGCTGCAAACCCCACTGGGATAGTCAGGTGGTGGCAATCTGCCTCAATGTTCTTAATTAGGAAAAACTGCAACACTGGTAAGTCTGGTCTGGTCTGGTCTGGCTGGCGACAATGTGAGTCCTGACTGGCCACTCACAGGAGAGGAAGTCAAGACTAGGAGAGAGAAGGAGAGAGTTGATATCAAGAACTTACTTGATATTCAAGAGCCAAGTCCTCCATTTTTTCTCTTGAAATCTAGGGGTGAACTTCAAGCATCCAGATTCTACAGCCTTAGGAGAAAAATGGATAAACCGAGTGCAAAAGGAGCAGTTAAGATGCTGGAAGGAGAAGTGAATCCCTACATTCCAAATGGGAAATACCACGGAGCGATTCTGTCTTTGTAAACACACTCGCTCCCCCATGGCTGATTCCAAAAGCTCCCAGCAATTCATCAGCGCAGGCTTTAACATCGTCATCAAAGCTCTGTTCATTCCTTGAAGCAAGGCATCTGGGGTGTCAGTCCCCGTATTCCAGAAAAGTTCAAGCATGTGGAACATTACCTCCAAGGCCTTGTGAGCCATTTCTTCGCATCGGAGAAACCACTGGCTCTTCAAGAGGATTTCGATCACGTCCCCAGAGCGGCTGTGGGTAAGAGAAACACAAAGGATCATTTCACATTTCCCAGCATGCCAAGCCAGAGCCCTGCGGCATCACAGCTTAGGATGTATGTATATCTCATACCATCAATATAGATGGCAGTTTGCCAAGTAGCATAAGCAAGAGACGGGTTCCTACCCCAAGAGGTATGCTAATTACATTGTCCACATTTATTTTCCCCATTTATTCTTGCCTTCCATCTATCCACACTCATAAAATAATTACCCCAATAATTATTAGGTGCCTCTGATTAGATGACCTGGCTGGATATATAATAAGCATACATAATAAATTTAAGAGTTTACTGCAGAAAAAAATGTAACGTCAAAGAGTCAACAAAGGGACAGCTTAGTTATACTCCTTGGTTTTATTTTAAAAAATTGTATATTTAGCATAACAATTCCAAAACAGCATCATCTTTTTGTCTTTGTCTTTAATCAGGTTATATTCTGCAATACTTATTTTATGTGTATTGTCACCATCACAATACAAAAACCTTCCGGTTCCGTTTTCCCCAACTTCTAACATAAACAGACCTTGACATGAAGCTGAAGGATGGCAGTGCAGGGGAGGGAGAGACAGTGGCACAACTTCTTATATCACCTGGCTAGCCTTACCTGCACAGAGGGAGCACCAAGGGATGCTCCCTTGCCCCCCGATAGAGGCCTTTCTCCTTCAAAGCAGCCAACACCTTTTCTCGGGCCAGGAACCTATTCAGCCCCTGGAAGAAGAACATCTAGTTAGTCAGATGCATGTTGAATAATAACAACAGGACAAAGCCCAGGGTATTTTGGCATCTGAGGCAGACGTGAGGGTGCGTCACATTGGAAAGATCAACATAATAATTAAACTATGATTGGGCCCTCCAAATCTGGCATTTCAGTGCATCTCTCAGACTAGTACTGACATGAGAAACAAATCACAAGCAGGTTGTGCTTTGTATTTCTGGTTACACAGAATATCATGCTGCATCTGCACTGTATGTATTATCAGAATTAACACCATCACCAATAATATTCTTTTCCCATGCACCTAAAAAACAAGGTGCTGCTGCTCAAAGGTATGGGATGGACTGTAGCAGCTCCTTATGAATTGTTGCATGTAACAAAAAGTACAGAAACACAAATCAGTCTGTAAGCCCTTTAAAAGGTCATGTTTACCTGCAGCCATTCCCCACACTCTGATGTCATCGTACCGTCTTCTGCAATAACGGAAACACATGGTAGGCCATGCCCACAGGCCATTTCATGGTCCAAGTAGTTGTGTGCTGGTGTCACCTTCACAGCCCCTAAAAGATGTGTGAAAAGGTGAGGAGACACACCTTTGAAAACCTGTGCATCCACCCAACAGGATGCCATGACAGAATTCTGCGTGTCAAGGCACAGCCTCCCCACAGGTGGGATGATGCATGTTCTCACCTGTGCCCATCTCCTGCTCCACCAAAGGATCAGTAATGACAGGCAGGAGACGTCCAGTGAATGGATGACGCAGCCTCTTGCCATGGAGGTGCTGGCAAGAAACATCCAGACAGACAGATCAGGTCAGCCCACAAGAAACTAAGATTCCTTCCTGTAAAAAGGCCCACAACCCTGATGCCACATGACATCAATAATGCTTCCAACCACCCCAGTGAATAGAAACATATCAGGCTGTGTATGGATCAGCCACCCCATGCTGGTTGTGAATGATGGGACATCTGAAGGGTGCCAGGTTGAGGAAGATGGTCTGATCCATATCAAGCCATGTAGCAGAACAGCCTTCCCCAACACGGGGCCCTCCAGATGTGGTGGTTTTTGACTCCCTGGCTGAGAATTATGAGAGTTGCAGTACAATCCATCCGGAGGATGCCAGGTTGGACACGGTTCAGGCAACCACCTCTAAGCTTATTATTTATTTATTTATTTATTTATTAAAACATTTTTATGCCGCCCCATTCGCCGAAGCCACGGGGCGGCTTACAACAATAAATAAAACCAATAAGGTAAAATATACATATAAAATAATCATAATAATTTAAAACACACATTATAAAATAAGCCGCCCTGGCCAGATAAAATTCAGTGGTATTAACATTTAAAATGTTGCTTAAATAAAAAGGTCTTTGCCTGGCGCCGAAAAACAAATAACGACGGCACCAGGCGGACCTCTCTGGGGAGCGTATTCCATAACTTAGGCGCCACCGCTGAGAAAGCCCTCCTCCGAGTAGCCACCCTCCTAATTTCTCTCACAGAGGGCTCCCGGAGAAGGGCCTCTCCCGCTGATCTCAGGGGGCGACTGGGCATATATGGATGTAAGCGCTCCTTCAGGTAACCAGGACCCTAAGCTTCCAAGTCAGATTTTGTTAGAAAACAGATCCTGCTGATTCTGAAGGTCTCTGTAACTTGAGACCCTTCCTTAAGTGGAGATGCCATGGTTGAACCCAGGATCTTCTCCGCATATACAAAGCCTCTGCTTTACTATGGATCTGTGGTGCCTCCAGTACAGGAAGGAAGGGTAGGGCAGAGAAGCCTTACTGTGTACCGTGGGTCTTCTGGATGCACAGCAACAGCAACATCTCCCAACATGGTCTCTGGTCGAGTCGTGGCCACAGGAAGCTCCACACCTGCCCTCCATCAAGACAAGCCGAAATCAGATGGGTAAAATTGCACACACAAACCCAACAAGGTTATCTGAGTCAGAAAGGTAGCTGCCTCTGGATATAAGCAACACTTAAGATTAGTTTGAACAGAGAGGCAGACATGAAAAAGGCAGGAAAATAGTTGCTGTGACAATAAAGATTATTAATCCTTAGATAGCTGCTTTCCTTTGTTGCAGTGTTATTCTCATTTTTTAAAAATACCTACATCCAGGACACCCCTTCAATACAGATTTCATAGTCAAGAACCTCCACTCCATCTGCCACAGAACCCCTGGCCTTTGCAAAGGATTCTGGGACACATTCTAGAGTACATTTTTGGTTCATACAGGGCACCAGGTGGGTCTCTCAGGCCTTGCAGTTGGCTAGGCTTTTATTTCTAGCACCTATTGAGACACAATGGCTCAAACTGGATCAGACCCAGAAAACAGAAATTTGGGGAATTTGGGTTGAGCCATGAAGAGTATAGCCATCTTGGGCTGCCATCTCTCAGCTCAGTCCACCTTGCTGGATTGTTAAGAGGCAACCGAAGTCTCCTCAGTTGCCCTGATGTTGGTTGGCTGGTTTGGTGGGGGAAACAAAATGAAAATGTGACAATCATTTTATTTCATTTACTTACTCATATCTGAAAGCTTTCAAATGTAATTACAAAGCAAAAACAAATTAAGTCCAAACTTGCAACATTAAAATACAAAACAGAAATGGTGAACACACTTTAGAAGTATCTTGGCAAAATCCAATCCTATCATTCCATTGAAGGTTAGATTCTTACCAACTCCTGTTTGTTCTTGGTTTAACCCTGCTTAGCATTGTTAACTCACCTTCCTCTCCTTCTACTTTGTAGGCAAATGTCACCAAGACCCCAAATGGTACTTTTCCCTGGACTCCGGGCACAGAGAGCTCTGTCCGCCCCTTAAGGTGCTTGTTCTCTACCTGACAGAAACACAATCTGTGAAGCAGCTTTGTCCAAACAGCACCAAACCCTCCCATCTTGGGCTTGACTAGCATTGGTTCTGTCCTGCTGACCTCAATGTCAGAAATGGCAGATTGCAAGGCACACGACCAGTTCACCAGGCGCCTGTCCCGATATATCATGCCTTGCTCATATAGCTGCACAAAGGCCTCTGTTACTGCTTGGGAGAAACCCTGCAGAAGGAGAGGAAAGAGGTGCAGGGAGAGAATTTGTTTACTTCAGCTGAAGTCATCCTGGGGCATAAAAAAGAACAGAACCCACAACCCAACCAGCTTCCAGGCCAATGCTCTAACCCAGCTTTCTCCAACTCCATGCCCTGCAGATGTCTTGGACTACCTCTCCCATTGCCCCCAGCCAGTGCTGGAAGGCTTGAGTTTGGGGGATGCTGTTCCAGCCTCAAAGCCACATAGGATCATGTTGTTCACCTTCAAACAAGATTTAAGAAGATCTCATTTTTAAAAAATAAGCCCTACATTCTATTTTTGTTTGTTATCAAATGCCTATGCTGCCCTTCTTCTCAGGACCCCTGAGAAACTTTTTAGCTGCACAACAACCCTGCGAGGTTGTTTAGGACAAGAGGAACAAGAGGCCAAGATCAGCAAGGGAACGTCAGAGATAACTGTGGAAGTGAATCTGGATTTTCCCATATTCAGAACTCACACTCTGGCCACTGACAAGTGCAGGACATCAACTGATGGGAAGGTGGCCAAAGAAATTGCTTGGGCTCTCTCAGCCGCTCAGTGGCACAGATACGATTGGCATTTAGCAGTTCCAGCTGGCTGCCCACCCTAAGTCCAAAAACCAATATACCTCTGGCTCAAAGAAAGTATTTGCATGCTGGTCTTTCTGTTACTCACAGAATCCATAGTGAAACAGACTCGGTCCCAGTCCAATGATGCTCCCATCACCTTCAGCTGTTGGAATATTTCGTTTCCTTTTCTGATCTCGGGTGCGGGGGAACAGAACAGAAACAAACCTCTTTTATACAGAGAAATAATGAAAACCACCCAGAAAGTATTCCACTCCGTTGCACAGGAAGGAATCAACCTGCTCTTTCCCTTGAAGGAAGACCACCAGCTGGACGTGAAGTCCCCACCAACCCCATCATCAGACCTCCATCATGACAACAACTGGGTAGTGGTCCCAGCTCCCCCCGTGCTTATACTCACTCTTCTTTCCAGGTCCACACCTCTTGGAGGAATTCCTCCCGTGAGAGCTGTTGCCGCAGGACTCCCCGTTCCTTCCAGATCTTTCTTTCTACCACAGCCTGGCCAGAGAAAGGAGAGCAGAAGAGGAGCTACAAAGCACAACCTGGAGCACACTTGACCGGAACATACTCCCACCTCTTCTAAGATTGCAATACTATTGCTCTCTCTTAAAACATACACAGAGCAAGAGAAATAAGCATGTCTGAAGTTTAATGTGAAGTTTTCAAATCCCAGCAAGAAGCAGTGGACAGAAGGATGTTTATCCATGGCATGTGCTTACTGTTGAATCAGTAATCAGAGCCAGAATCAGTGGAAACTGCAACAAAATGTTGCAGTGGGAGTGCTGCTTTCGGGATTCCAGCCGCTCTGCTCATTTCTAATCCCCTTCCCCAGATTGGTTGTCTGGTCCCCTCCCTTGCATAGTCATTCAGTCAGCGTCCAACACTCACTGAGCATGCTCAGTCACTGAACTGTCTGTGGATATCACCCTGCCTCCAGGGTTTTTCTTAAAGATTATTTGTACTTCTGCAAATCTTGGGGTTCCTTAGAACCTGCTCGTATCAACTTTTGGTGAATGGATGGTGCAGTTTTATTTATGCAGTAATGGCACGTATCCCTGAACTTCGGAAACAAGGGGAATGATGGGTTGGTCTTACCTGAGTAGCAATTCCAGCATGATCCGATCCTGGAACCCACAAAACCTTATAGCCCTGCATCCTCTTCCTGTAACATACAGTGAAAGAAATTAGGACCTGAACAAGCATCCTGTTGCTGAACACACATGGTTTTGTGGTTTATCCTTTATTTGAATTCTGTTTTCTCCTGCCTCATTCCATATGAATGGGACAGTGAGATTCAGGGCTGAGCATCCATCTCTCTATATGATTCAAGTACATTTGCTGAAAGCTAACAACACTGACCTTGCAAGGCTTGATGGCACAACAAACCTGAAGCCAACAACCCACCCACATGTCGCCACTTCCCAAGAAGACTACTTACCACCGGACCAGAGCATCCTCAATAGCCACGGTCAAGGCATGCCCCAGATGTAGGGACCCCGTAACGTTAGGCGGGGGGATAGAGAGGGAAAATGTTTCTGGCTTCCAATGGGGCACCTGATGCTGCCAAAGCAAGAAAAGACAGGATATACAGTCACAGCTCAAGATCAGAACAAACCCTTAAAGCAAGCATCCCCTGGGGGCATCTTGGTGGTACTATCAACTCAGAGATCCATCTATAAAAGTTTTGTCGGTGCAAAACATAGGTGCTGAACCAAACACCTGCAGGCCAAAACTGACTGTCCTGCGCCCCAGTGTGGCCATCTGTGATTGCCTGGATGGCACTTCCTTTCCTCCAACCACCAGTCATTGGGTGGCTTCCCAACCTTTGTGTAGCTTTTTCCGCATAGAAGTCTCTCTCCTAGCTTGGGCAGGAAGAGTTTCAAAATAAAATATGGTGGTCACTTTGGTTTTTTAACCCAGGGCCCCATTTTGCCTTAAATCCCTGGAACGGGGCCACTGAGAGCTCCTCTAAAACTGAATTCAGCCATTTGGCTGAAAGAGCTTCCATAGTCTTGGCCCAGAAGGCCAATGGTCAGTCTGATTTAGCAATCTGTCCCCGTTAACAACCAAGCAAATGCCGCTGGGATGTTTCCAAGCAGAACAAGAAGGAATGACCCCTTCCCTCCTGTTACTTCTTAGCAACACGTACTCCAGGGCGTGCTGCCTCGGGACACTGAAGTTTGGTAGGCAATCATTTCTAGCAACAGCTGATTGTAGGGATAGGATCCAATCCCTCTGCAGACCAGACCCAGGAATATCTGGGAGTGAATCCTGAGTCAGGCAGGGAAGGGAAAGATGCTGCGAAGGCACCAAGGGTTTGTGAGCAGGAGACAGTGAGAAGGAAGCTTGGCTGTCCCTTAATCTTTTGGAGGACAGCCAAGCTGGGCCCTCTCAACCCACAGGAATGAAAGCACCTAATGAAGAGAAGGTGATGGTGAGAATACAAGACTGCAGGATCAAAAGGAGGAGCAATGCAAGATCACAGCCCCCATGAAAAGACCCTGCTTGAGGGAGGGATTTGGTAGCCCACTCAGCTTGAGAAGGGTGGGCTGAAAAACACTGTCAGTGTTGTAACAGACCTTGCCCCCTTTACCCAGGCAACTCAAGGATGCTTCAAGTCTGCTTGGAATTTCTCTCTCTTTTGACTGCAGCAGAATACATAGCCTGAGGCAAGGCTTGCTGGCTCCAGGTAAATGGACATGCTGGTTAAGTTGCTGGCAATTGATTAGAAACAGTTGACTGGGAAGAGGACCAAGATAATTCAGCATGAATAGATCCATTCTCCATGAGATTCACAGAATCATGAAGCTGCAAAGGACCTCAGGGATTAGCTAGTCTAATGCTTTGCTCCATGCAGGAATCTTGCAATTCCAGCACCCCTGACAGGAAGGCTATCCAGCCCTTCCTTCAATACTTCCAGCAATGGAGAGCCCCACATTTCCTGAGGAAGCCTGCTTCACTCTCAGTCAGATCTTATATTAGGGGTTTCTCCTACAGTTGAGTCAAAATCTACTCCCCTGCTAATGTTAGTTAGTTCATTAGAATAACTAATGAAAGTTAGTTATTCATTCTAGTCTTGCCCTCTGGAGCAAGGTCAATGGAGAAAGTGGGCTTCCCCACAATTTGGGGCAGTGAGTTCTACAAAAGGATTACATGCTGTGTGAGGTCTTTTGTCTGTTTCCATCTAGTGCCGATGGATTTCAAAAAGTGGCTGAACTGTAGTAATATGAGAGGTGGGGTGGGGGAAAGAGTCTCTCTGCTCACATTCTGCACTCCACCATCGCATTCCTCACAGTCATTTCTGTGGTTGTTCATTCATCCCCTCACTCGCTGACTCTAAGGGGATGGCCTGTGTCATATTTGCTTATGACATCATCTAGCATGAATTCACAGGAGCAATTTTCTACCTGATATTCTGGTTTAAAAAATCCCTCCTTCATCCACCAAGTGTACCAAGCAGCTTCGACGTAGCGTGGGCTGTAAGAAGTGGGCAGTGGCCTTGAGGTGTCTGTGGGGGAAAATGCCAAACAGAAAAGTCATTATTTAAGTAGGAATATATTCCATCTGTTCAGAATTTCTCTATTTGAGCACTGTAGAGTTTATTCCATAGTAAAGAATCCAGCAATCTGCAGTTCTCAGCTTTCAGTTTTTAATGAGCATGTTTCTAGTCCTGGTGGCTGTTGCACACTAACAGGAGGACCAAGGCAACATTTATTAGGGTGTAAGCAGAATAATTAAGCACTGTGAGATTCCCTAGGTAAGGATGTACATGGTTAGGCAAGAAGGTTGCTGTCCTGGTGTCTTGTCAGAACCCTGCTGGAAGAGACCAAAGGCTTGTTTTGTCTAGCATTCAGTGACATTATAGCTGAAATGGCCCACCTTTTATTGCAAACTTTCCCAACTTGATGCCTTCCAGATGCCCTGAATTACAATGTCCATCATCCCCAGCCACCATGGCAAAGGGCCAGAAAAGCTGGAAGACACAGTCTAAAACACCTGGATCATACCAGGTTGTGAAAGGCTGTGAGGTCAGAGCCCAGGAGAAGGCAGGGAACAGCAAGGCATAGAAGGAAGGGGAGAGAGGCCGGGAAAGGACAGAAAGGAGAGAGCCCTGACATTCTCCAAGGTGTGCATTTCTTTTTTGAAAGGGGCAGGTCATGGAGCCTCACTGATGACCTGCATCACATCCATCATCCTGTTTCCTGCAGCAGCTGGCCAATAGGAAGCCCACAAGCAGGGCACAAGAGAAGGAACAGCTTCCCTGCACTGTTGCTCCCCAGCGATGCGGCCTCAGCATCAAGCTGCCTCTGATCCTGGAGGTATTCAACAGCCACCGTGACCAGCAGCCATGCACGGCTGTAACTGAAGCTTCCTTTGCAAAGGACGTGGGACTTTTTTGAGTGGGGGCTGTGCACAAGCTTCTGAGATTGGGACAAAATGTGGTGCTTGATGAGAACTCCTTTTCCTGCTCTTGCTGGATAAATGAGGGTCTGGTAAAGGCAAGGAATTAATTTTACCCATTGTACCTTTCTTTTGTCCTGCCGGAGTCGGGATGTCATATTCAGCCAGGATTCTCAAGGAACGGTTCCTTCCTTGGCTGGGTGGCTCTTCCTGTGAGCAGCAAAAGCAAGCAGGCACTTTCAGAAGACCTGATGAGGCCAGAGAGGGAGTTGGGACACCCACCAATTCTCTGCTAGCACAAACATAGGGCCCTTCAGCTAAGGAAGGGAAAAGCCCATGATGGAGGGTAGCAAAGATCTTCAGTCCCTGACATCTCTTCAGCAAGAAGCTCTGAGTTAGTGAGGCTGGAAAACCATCCGGCCAAATCTGAGCCTGACAGTTGGCCAAATTCTGTTTTAGCCCATGCACAAAATATCAGAATTGGCTTTCTGTCTGACCCCAGTCCATTCTGCTCTGCTTGTGCTCTGTAGCTCCTCTGGCATATAGATGCACTCCCTTTTAATCAGCAGTCAGTCAGAATCTGGCCACAAACACAAAAGCAGCTCTGCCAGCTGCCTCACCTTCATCCCGGTGACCAGCCCAGCTTCAATGGAAGCCAATCTCTCTCGCTGCCGCTTCTGTTTTTCTGCCTTGTTTTTCAGGTGGGCCGCCTTCCCCACAGGGTGGGGGTGATCTGTCTGGGTTGCTTGAGAATAGGACTTCCAACCTCCAGGGACATCCTGGCACCTCCTCTTAGTCCAGAGAAGCAGACGGCAGAGACCACACAGGGCCTGTCTGGGGCCGGGATTTAGTGGGGCTGATGGCATGCTTGGAAACGGGGGTGTCCGGCTCTCATGTGTGCATGGAGGAAAACACAGAGCAATGGAACCTGCACAAGGAAAGACCAAACACAGGCAATGACAAGGCCAAATCACATGATCAGGATCTTCCATACACATTTATACTCTAGACACTCTGATGCTGCTTGCATTTTATTAGTTTTGTATATGTGTGTTGTTCTGCCAATATTGTGCTTAGCTGTTCTCTCTCACAGCATGCACAAGCAGGCTTGCTGGCTGGCAACAGCCCAGGATTCTAAAGAAGTGAAGTGCAGGATTGCTCAGTCCTAAGGACCTGTCCCTTGGATTCATGTGTTTGCACGCTAGCAGCACAATGAAGTACAGGATCCATAATTGTTGTGGCTTGGGTGCAAGAGATATATAATTTGACCATGGTTTCATGTTGATCCTATGTCCATTTCACAAGGATCTATGCCTTCAATTCATGTTTTTGAATCATGGCAACACAGTATAATATGTATGTCATATTTTTATGAGTTGATACGACTGTAGCTCAACAGATTTTCTCTGTAAAAATGCAGAGTACCTTTGAGGATTCATGCCTTGGATACACGCTTTTATCCACCATGATGGTAGCCCAAAAGCTATGAATATGTGAGTTTTGTGGTTCAGTCTCTGGCTTCTATGCTGTGTCATACGACTAAGGTTTTGAGAGATTTTTCTGATAAAGAGTGCAAGGTCCCCTGATAATCTGTGCCTCTTCTTCAAGTTTTTGTGCTGTGGCCACACCAAAAAGCAGCAGAATAGTAGTTTTTATGCTCCATTTCAGGAAGGCAGGTGTGGTCTGTGCATGGGTGGTGGCTTGGCATCTGTCCCCTTTAAAAATATATGAAATTAGGAAGATCTGTGTGTGTGTGTGGTGGTGGTGGGGTTTCCATGGATCCAACTTTTCTAGTTTTGGGCACATAAGGCAGAAAATCCAACAAGTGCTGCTCAGCAAGTTGGCCCTAAACATATAGTAATAATATGTTTAACAGCTGTTTTTTGTCCTTTCACAATGAGACAGCTGTGTCACTCTGCCCAATAGGAGGGCCAGCGCTGTTTGGAGCAATAAGAGGGTGAAATGTTGCATACAGCAGGCACTTCCATGTTCATGTTTAAAAATACTACATAATGTCAACTTGGCATCATGCATAACTTGAAATATTGACCATATCTGACAGATAGTACCCTTCAAGTGCTCAAAAGGGTGCCACAACCTTAATAGAAGTATCACTTCCCAATCATGGGAAGTACTAGGTCCCCTCTATGCAGCACTGCTTAGGCCTCATCTGGAGTACTATATCCAGTTCTGGGCACTACAATTCAAGAAAGATGCAGACAAACTGGAAAGGGTTCAGAGGAGGGCAAGAAGAAAGATCCAGGGACTGGAAACCAAACCCTGTGAGGAGAGATTGAAAGAACTGGGCATGTTTAGCCTTGAGAAGGGAAGTCTGAGGGGAGATAAGATAGCACTGCACAAGTCCGTCAAAGGCTGGTGCAAAGAGGAAGGTCAGAATCTTTTATCCATCGTCCCAGAGTGCAGGACATGGAATAACAGGCTCAAGTTACAGAAAACCAGACTCCAGCTAGATATCAGGAGAAATTTCCTGACTGTCAGAGCAGCACGACAATGGAGGCAATGACCTAGGGAGGTTGTGGGCTCTCCCACACTGGAGGCATTCAAGATGCACCTGGGCAGCCCTCTGAGCGGGCGGCTTTTACTTAGGAGTCCTGCACAGAGCAGCGGGTTGGACCGAGGGCGTTCCTGGCTCCCTCCGACTCTACTCCATGAACCTCCCGGCTGCGAGTTTTAGTAGCCTTCGCCAGGCGGCGGCGGCCTGCCCGCGCTCCTAGCCGCAGCACACACCCAGACAACCCATGCAGAGGCAGCCCAGGAGAAAGAAAGCCCCGCAGGCTGAATTTCGCCTCGTCCCAGTTAGTAACGCGCAGGGGCCGATGGGGGAGCTGGGCACCCCTCGTCGCTCCAGGCACTGGACCCCGCTGCCTTCCCGCTCTCCGGCCTGGGAAGGACCCAGGAGTCCGGCTCCCGGAGCAACTCGGCGGGACAGTCTGGGCGGGCACGTGCGCGATTACCTTCCGAAGGGGCGGCGCGGCGCGGCGTGCGGCGGGGAGGGCGCGGAGCCCCGGCAGGAGCGAGCCCGGCCGCCTCTCTAAGGCGGCTTCCCTGTGGCTGGAGAGAGGCATGATGGGACGTCGGAAGGGGCCGGGCTGCGAGAGCATGAAAGCCCCGGGAGGAAGTGGCGGATCGCGGAGGCTGGTGCCGGTAGCGGTGCCCGTGCACGGGCAGCGCGGAGGCGGTAAGGCAGGGAGCCGGCGGGGGTGGCGGGAGGAGGGGGGCTGGAGGCTGCCGGGGGTCCCGGGGGAGGGAAAGCTAAGCGCCAGCCCCCGTAGAGACGTGGGGGGGGGGCTTGGGGCCCTGGGGTGGGTTTTGCGAAGGGGGAGCAGCCGATCCCGAAGGCTGCCAGCCAGCCTCTTGTCTGCACAGGAGTTTGGAAGAGAGGCTTGATCCGGTTTCAAGAGCCTTAATAAGGCTCTACGTTTCATATGGCCTTGCGCTCCAAAAGAGGCTTCTGTTCTTTATCTCCAAGACTGGGGGACTGTCCTTTTCGAAATCGACGGTTTTCTCTAATCTGAAATGCTGGTGTGCTGATTTTTATCTTGAATTATGCACCCAGGAAAGGCTAACAAAACAAGAAAAAGCCCCGAATTAAGATTAAAAAATTGGGGATCTTGAAGATCCAGCTCCTATTTCTCACTTGGCCACGAAGTTAATTGGGCGACTTTAGGCTAAAAAACCTTGATTTAAAAATGTATTTGCCTGCTGGTACAAGGGCAACAGAGCGAGCTGGCCCAGCTTGGCAGATTGGCCCAGATGGCAATTAAAAATAAGGAAGGTGGGGTGCTGGGCTACAGATACTAAGCTTTGGCTACTGCAAGTCATACACTTGCATCTCCAGGAGAGTGTTCATGGTGAAACCACTTTGGATCAGATCTGCTCCCAACACTTCCTTTCAAGTGTGTAGAAAATTGGCACTTTGGGCTGTACCTTATGCCTTCTTAAGGCCAGAGGTGGTTTTAGGGTTAGAGCCCCAAATCTGTTATTGGGAGCCCATCTGCTGGACCACTCTGCTTCCCTTGAGGACTTGCTGAAATAGAAATACAGCTGTCCTGGCATCTGATGCCCCGGGATTTGCTGGCTCACGTGCTTTGTCTCCTGCTGCGCCCCCCCCCCCCCCCCCATTTGAGTCTTTCTGCCTGAGCTTTTCTTCTGAAATTAAATGCTTTTCTCCTGCCCACACATCCATTTTTACAATTGGGGTGCCTTTAGAATAGAGGGCCCTTTAAGGATGAAAAAGACCTTAGAGCATATGCAAATTAGTATGTGTAGATTTGTTTTTTTATCCAGCAGCACCAGACCATTTTGGTGCCTAGCACCACTCTGCATAAAGAGTATGCAAATATTCTGAGGCTTTCCAAATGTCTGTCTTTCAGATAGCCCAACCCCCATGGGAAAATGCCCCATGGTCAGTAAACTGTGATTAGCATAATGGAGTCAGTGATGAAGCTCCAGAAGGTGCAGCTGAAATGCAAGAACCTTCATGAATTCCTGCGAGGCCTCAGCCCAGGAATCTTGGACCGGCTCTACAATCACCCTGCCACTTGCCTGGCTGTCTTCCGGTGAGTGGGGCTCCTCCTTTGCTCAAATACTCTCTCTCTGTCCTTGGAGGGGGAGGACATAAAAGCACCAGTATACAACAGTTCAGCTCCAGCTAGTTGCATCTCCAAGTTTTAAATTCCTGCTGTACTAAAACTGCATGGGTTTGGGGGCAACCCACTTTCAGCAAGATGCTAAACATGCCAAACAGGGCAGGAAGCTGCCTTATGCTATCCTTACATATAAACCACCTGGGAATTTTTAAAAAATGTATATAAATAAATACCCCAGCATTGTCAACATAGACTGGCAATGGTTCTCCAGAGAGTCAGGCAAGAATTTTCCTTGCCCTGTCTGGAGATGCTTGGAATTAAACTGGGACCTTCTGCATGTAAAGCAGAGCTTTGGCCCTGTCTGCTTCCCAGATAATTTGCCTTATGAGTTTTGGATCATGTTTAATATTTGATTGCATCTGAATAGGAAAACTTGTGCTCACTGTTCATTCGAAGCAGCCATGGATTTGAAAGCATCTGCCATTAAAATTGTGTGATACCCCAGTTAAACACAACATTTATTGCTTTCCTAACTTCTAAAATAGAGAAATGGGTTTATTGGATTGTGAAAGCAACTGTCCTGTTTAGTGTGAATAACCTTTTTTAATTCTCTTTTCCTGAATTACAGTGGATTTTCTTTTGGTGTAATAACGGTGCGAGAAGTAAAGTATTGCATGGATAGCTTTGGCTGTCCCACCTTACAGATAGGAGACCTGGGTATACCGGCATTTGCTGCCAAGCACTGAACGATCTTACTTCTGGGTAGGAAGCACTATGGTAAAGACCATCTAGTGTGTTGGGCATTGTCCCTGTCTTCTTATGTCTTCAGTGAGCTGCCAGGTTTGGCTAAGAACTATGTCATGCGGATGCTCTTTCTGGAACAGCCCCTTCCTCAGGCAGCAGCGGCATCATGGGTAAAGAAGGAATATGCCAAGTAAGTTGTTGTTTACTTTATTGTCTAAGGTTTCTCCTCTCAAAGGCTCAAAGAATTAACATAACAGTAAATATATTTATTATATATACTATATATTAATATATATTGTATAATATTTATTTATTTATTTATTCATTCATTCATTCATTTATTTATTTATTTAGAAAATTTCTATGCCGCCCCATTTGCTGAAGCCTCGGGGCGGCTCACAAATATATCAAAACATTATACAATAAAAATATAAAACAAGTTAACAATATGAAATAATTTGCCCTGGCCGAAGAATAAAAAAATAAATAGTATTAGCAGTTAAAATGACGTTTGAATAAAAAGGTCTTCACCTGGTGCCGAAAAACAAATAACGACGGCGCCAGGCGGACCTCTCTGGGGAGCGCATTCCATAGATTGGGCGCCACCGCGGAGAAAGCCCTCCTCCGAGTACTTACCCTCCTAAATTCCTTCACGGAGGGTTCCAGGAGAAGGGCCTCTCCCGCAGATCTCGGGGTGGGCGGGCATATATGGAAGTAAGCGCTCCCTCAGGTAACCAGGACCCAAGCCTGGTTACCTGAAGGAGGTATTATATAAACTATATTATATACTATTATGTATTATATAAACAAATAATACATAATAGTATAATTTTATGGAGTTTGTATATTTTAAAATAAACAATATTCATATAAAATAGTATTTATTATAATACAAATATTTATATCAGTGATAAATAATTGTTACCATTGAAATAAATGAAAGTTCTCCAAACTGGCTTAATTGTGCTTGTTGTGAACTAGCTCAGCCAAGATCTGAACAGGGTTTGTGGAAATTCTATGGAGATGGGAGGGCATTCCAGATCTTTGGGATAACCGTACAAAATGCCTCTGTACTGAGTCCCATGATGTTTGGGACACTTGTTCGTCACATTTCTATTCGATTATTATTCCATGAAGCCTGGGACAGCATGCATGGATCTTCCTCCAGTTTTATCCACGCAAATTCACTGTGAGGTAGATCAGGACCAGTGAGGAGTTAAAACTGGGTCTCTCCAGGTTTAGCCTGATGCTCCAAGTCTAACTGCTACTTATTCTAACTGCTATTTATCTAACTGCTGCTCATTCTTGTAGTATTGTAATAATAGAATCCAAATGAAGGTACCCATCTCTCAGGCTGGCATGTCCCAGGACATTGGGGGGAAATCCTGTAATCAGCTCAGGAAACTCTGGTAATGTAAGCCTGCAGCATCAGTCTAGCCATTGCTGGAAACAGCGTCTTCTTCTAGCTGCAGTGCTTTGTACATTTGATTTTGCTCCATGACTGATCCTTCACGCTACTGATGTTGCACTCCTGCTTGAATTGTCTATTGTACCTGGTTGCTCACCTGTGCTGGACCTTGGGTGCTTGACGGAGCCTTTCTTATGTAACTCACCCCCCCCCACCCCGTGCTGATAAAGGTGTGCCCTTGACCATGCCTACTTCAGGGGTAGTGGATTATTGCAAATTCAGTTGATTATTCACAGTCAGGCTGTGTATTGACCTGCTTTTGGATTGCCCTTTAGTTGACCCCAGCATTCAGCCTGATCCAGCCATTGGAGGACAGTGCGATGGAAATGCTAGTTTTCCAGTGCATTTCTTTCTTTCCCAAAACCTGAGTGTAGAGGTGTGTGCTGTTCTCACTTCCTTGGTTCCTTATCAGTCTCTCATTTCAGGGAGCAGGAGGAAAGCTCGGATGTCTTGCTAGGGCTGCGACTGTGGCACACGCAGCTGCTCCCAGGGGGCCTCCAAGGAATCGTCTTGAATCCCATCTTCAAGGAGAACTTACGCATTGCCCTGCTGGGTGGGTGAGTGAGAACCTCGAAGATAATTCAGATCTGAGATACCATGCAGAGTGTCTGTGACAAATGTGACTTTGTTGTAATGTCTGTGTTTTTTTGTCTATGTAATTTTAATTTCCATATAGTTTGAAGTGCCTGATCCTGCCTAATCCTGGAAGCTAAGCAAGGTTGGGCCTGGTTGAAATCTGGATGGGTGGCTTAAATGTTGTGAACCGCCCAGAGAGCTTCAGCTATGGGTGGTATAGAAATGTGATATTATAATAATAATGATGGGAAAACTTGCAAATCATGGCTTGAAAAGATATGGCCTTCTTCTTATGTACAAATTCGCCTTTCTGCTCATGGCTTGCTTTAACCATGGTTTAGCATTCCATCTGGGTCAAACATGGTTACAGATCACCTCTATGTCTTGCTTCCTTTTCCCTTGCTGCAGAGGTAAGGCCTGGTCTGATGACACCAGCCAGTTGGGTCCGGATAAACATGCCCGGGACGTCCCATCCCTAGATAAATATGCTGAGGAGAGATGGGAGGTGAGTGTGTTTTGTTTTGCATGTTTTGGCTGGTTAAGTCTGCAGCGAGTTTGTCTATTCATCTCGCAATTGTTGCAGGTATATCTTGCCTTTTCCTCCGGGGAGCCCAGGGTGGTGTACATGGTCCTCCACTTTTGCATGGCATCCTCTCAACACCCAGTGAGATGGGTTAGTTGGAGAGTCAGTGACTGGCGAGCTGACTTTGGCTGAGTGGAGGCTTGAACCCACAGTTTCCGCATCCCAGTCTGACACTCTTGACTGCTATACCACTGATGGCCAGTTAGGCCACCTGGATGTCCTTTGGATGCTTTTGGTGCAACACACCTAGCAGATAATGTAATATGTAGTTGCAGTCTTTAAAAAGAACCTGGATCTCCAAAGTCCCAGGTGAATACTCTTAACCACTACACAATACTGCTGATTTGCAGCTGATTAACTCGTAAGTTCAGTCAAAATTTGTCATCAGTTGCAGGTCCAGCATCCCTCAGCTGGTCCAGTCATAGAACTCTGTTGGGGATGATGGCCTTTCTCTCAGTTTGGGTCCTTTGAACGTACACCTGCTTGCACAGCCAGTCTCTATGAGTGGGACAGCAACAGTGGTCAAGCAGAGCTACTGCTGGGATATGTTTGGATCTCTTTGCTATGGTGTGTAGCTGACCAAGAGCCAGCCTACTCAGCACAGACTGATGGAGTCATGGCCCTCTCTGTTCCCCCGCCTTGCCTCCGCTTAGGTGATCCTGCACTTCATGGTGGGCTCTCCGAGTGCGGCAGTGAGCCAAGACTTGGCTCAGCTGCTCATTGAAGCTGGCCTGATGAAGAGGTAAGGGGCACATCGCATGGAAACAGACCAAGAGAAGTGGGCCAGCGGTCAAGAAAGAGGCTTGGGGTGCAGGTTGGAGCTGGGCCCATCTCAGCACTCTAGCCATTCTGGTACCACTCTGGTCTGGCTTGAGGGCACAGTGAGCAGCCCTCTTTCAATGGCATGTGGCATCTTTCCATCCCTGAACAGCGATTTTAGTCCAGCACAATACTTGAGGACTAGACATTTGAATCCTGGCTGTAACATTAGTGATAATGAGCTTTCTGTCCCGTAGGGAAGAGTTCAAGAGTGAAGGATTAGGGTTAACTTTACTCTAAGTTAAAGAGTGAACATTTTGGGAGAGCCTCCATGCCCCCCCCACCCCGCCATTTGAGACAAGGCTGCTGGCTCTTGGAAGGAGGGGCTTCTTGGTTGTGGTGCCCTGTGATGGAATGCTATGGTGGTTTTCCTGGTGCTGGTCTTTTTGATGTCAGGCAAAGATCTTTTATTCTGGATTTTTTACATGCAATTCCAACCATGGTGACTCTTCCATGCTGTGTCTGTGACTTTGTTGTCTTTCCGTAAAGTTTTCTTTTATTTGCACTTCAGCTTTCTACTCCCGTAACCGTTGCTAGAATAGTTTCTGCCCTGCTGTTTCCCATGTGTCTTTTTATAAGACCAGAAGGAATGTTCCCTTCTATGGTAGAGCCAGCAGAGGTGAATGCTGAGATAGCCTGACATGGTTCTTGTTATGTAGTGCTCTGACAGCTGGAATACGAAATACAGTCCTGCAAAGACCCGAGTGTGTGAATAGTTTCAATTGATTTATTAGAATCATAGAATAGTAAGAGTTGGAAGGGGCCATGAAGGCCATTGCGTCCAATCCCCTACTGTCGCAAGACACCAATTTACACTATCCCACTCAATGACTGTCCATTTCACCTTGAATGTTTCTAGTGTGGGAGAGCCCATCACTTCTCCAGGCAGCTGGTTCCACTGTCATATTGCTCTGACTGAGGAAGCTGTTTATGATATCTAGCCTGAATCTAAGCCTAAGCCTAACCCCTAAGCCTAACCCTATTCTATTTTTATGCTGCCCCAAAGCCAAACATGTGCAGTGTTATACAGCCAAACAAATATGGTATTATGCATAATATAAAAACAGTTGAGTTGCAACCATAGTTACAGAACAGGCACACATACATATCCAAACAATATTCCTTGCCCTGATGAAAAGCCTGCTGCGTGTTGCTAAATGCCTGGGAAGCAATGTGGAAGGAAGGGTTGTCTCCTGAATGCCTCCCCCGGATGCACCTAATTGTGCTCTTTTCCTTCCTCTCTCATTCAGTAGTGAACCTGGAGAACCGCCCTGCATCACATCCTCCGGCTTCCAGTTCCTGCTGCTGGATACCTCGTCTCAGCTCTGGTACTTCATGCTGCAGTATCTTCAGTCAGCTGAGGTGAGGAGGAAAAGGAACAGTCGCCCCTGAACCTGAATCGCATGTTCAGTCGTGCCTAACTCTTCTTCTTTGTGTGCATCCTCCCTACAGACCCGGGGCATGGACCTGGTGGAGATTCTTTCCTTCCTCTTTCAGCTCAGCTTCTCCTCCCTTGGCAAGGTGAGAAAGGAGAAATATTTGCTCTAGTCTGTTCTGTAGAGCTTCTGAAGCAGGGAGGGGTAAATCCTACACATTTTCATTCTGGCAGTGGGGAAAATATCCCCCCCCCCCCGCCAAACCTACTGCTTTTTCATTAGATGCCCTCTTCTGGTTATTCTCTGTGCATCAATCATAATCTGGCAAACTGTTTGTCCCCAGGATTATTCTGTGGAAGGAATGAGTGAGTCCCTGCTGAATTTCCTTCAACACCTTCGGGAATTTGGCCTGGTTTTCCAGAGGAAGGTAAGACATCGAAAGCAATAAGAGCATTAGTTGAGTTAGTTTATATGGGCTGGTTGTAGGAAACCCCGAGGCTGAAAAGACAGAAAGCTGCAGGCTGGCAAACTGGTGGTGTGATTGACGGCAGCAAGGAGGTGGAATGTGTGCATTGAGGCTGCAAGTCCAGACTGAACATGTGAGCAGAGCTAGGGATGCTAACCTGGCATGGCCCTCAGTGTCTCCCTCCATCCTTCTCCTCTTCCAGAGGAAATCCAGGCGGTACTATCCCACCCGCTTGGCCATCAACCTTTCCTCCGGCATCTCTGGCACCACCGTGGACACCCACAACCAGGGCTTTATTGTTGTGGAGACGAACTACAGGATCTATGCGTACACAGGTCAGAGGCTGAAGCCCTTCCTTTTCCGGCCACCTCAGTTTGCTTCATTCACAGCATCCTTGCTTGGTGTCTCCCATACATTTATGGTTTGGAACCAGTGTGATTGTTTCCCTACCCACCTGCCTCTGCGAATTCAAAATAATAGTCTTGGTTTTGATAATTGAATGTGACAAATGGAGAGGAAACATGCGCAGGCAAAGCTGCTAAGTATCCATGATTATCTCTTATTTTATGAAATGTGTTATGGCTGACATCACAAAATGTTTTCCATAAGGAGTTGCCCATGTACAAAGTACACATTTCACAGAATGCAAAGTGGCAAGTCTAAAAGACATGTAACTTGCCCAGGAATCCAAATAAACCAACAGAAATGAGGTCTGAGTCCCAGAATAGGAATAGGCTCCCCAGAGTAGTGATCTGCATACTCCTCACGGCAATAATTTTGGTGTCAGACAAAGATGATTTCATTTTCCTGACATTTTAGTGACTGAATAGTGTTTTTAAATTTTATATGAATCCGTTGATGGTTTTCATTTACTGTATCAGTTAATATTTATCTGATCTATGTGGTTGTCTAAATTTTGCTAATTTATATTTCTGTATTTTATTGGTTTTAGTTGTTCACTGCCCAGAGTCATATTTAGGTCTATTGGAGAGGTTTATAAATGCTTAAATAAATAAGTAAATGTGCATCTAGTTATTTGAAACCACAGCTCTTTCACTTGCTTAGAATCAGCCCACCCCACAAAGCCCCTCCCCTCGCATGGACACAGGCACACATATATACCTACACACACACTTCTCTCACATTCACTGTACACACAGAGAGCTCTTCCGTGCACCCTAATCACTCTCCTCGTTTGGCCACTCCACAGACATCCTCAACCCCTCCCTCTGCTACCTGCTTCCTTTCCCAGCCAAGTCACGCTCAGCCCAACGCTGGTCTCGCTGCTTCCTGCCCCTTTCCGCCAGGGCAGCCCCTTCTGTCTGCTTTCTCTGCTGCCCCCGTCCCCAAACTTACCAAGCAGCTCCGGGGGGCTGCCCTCTTCTTCCTTCTTTTTGGTGATGGGAAGAGCTGCAGATCAAAGTGCTGTCCTCCACTGCCTGCCACCTTTCTTTCCCCGGACTGCCTCTGGATCCAAGAAGAGAACAGAGGTGGCAGGCAGCTGGAAGCAGCATCCCACTTTGAGGCCAGCGTCCCCCGCCACCCCTTGCAATCTTAAAACAACCAACAAGCAGTGGAGGAAACACTTCCCAGGGAGACTTCCAAGGGATGTGCTTTCCAGGGGAACACTAATAGAGTCCTTCCTTTTTTCCTGCAGGGAACCCTGGGCTGGGTTGTCCTTGTTCTCCTCCTCTCCAAATTATCCTCACAACAGCCCTGTGAGGCAGGTTAGGCTGAGAGTCAGTGACAGGCCTAAAATTACCTAGTGAGCTTTGTGATTAAGTGTGGGCTAGCCAACACTCCAGCCACCACACTGGTTCTTACTGACCATTATGGGACTGAGCTGAGATTTTTCTCTCTGCTCCTACTTCCAGATTCTGAGCTGCAGATTGCCCTCATCGCGCTCTTTTCCGAGATGCTCTATCGTTTCCCCAACCTGGTGGTGGCTCAAGTCACCCGAGAGAGTGTGCAGCAGGCCATTGCTAATGGCATCACAGCCGATCAGGTGAGAACCAGGAAGAGGCCACCAAAAGCCCGGCTCTTGGATTGGGTGTATGTTGGGTAAAGGAAGGTCTGAGAAGTATGATTTGCTTCTTCCAGGCAGGTGAAGTTTTTTTTTTTCTTCATCTGGGGCTTCTGCATAGAAGTTTCCCAAACTAGATACAGCTACCAGTGGAAATGGCAAAGTGATGAAGCAACAGCATTAGACAAAACATGTTAAACTCAGTTCTGGTTCATTTACTTGGTTCTGCCCTTTTTTCCCCCTTCTGCAGATCATTCACTTCCTACGTACGAGAGCTCACTCTGTGATGCTGAAACAGGTGAGGAAATAGTGGGGAGTTCTTTCTGGGTGGGAGCATCCCAGAACAATTCCCTGTTTAACAGAAATAGTGCTGATCCTACAGCTTGGGAATAAGGCATCTTCCAGAAAGAGACTGGAAGGGTGAATGGCTGCTGCTTAATGTTTGCATAGGTAAAAGTACACAGAGTGCAGGATTCTGGGTAAGGAGGCAAAGGCAGATACTAAGGGAGAACGCAATGCTACAGAAATAGAAGTATTTTTTTCTTGCACTTTGAGGGATGGGTGATTTGCTGTGTAGCCATAACTACTCTGCTTTCCTCACAACAGACCCCAGTGCTGCCCCCCACGATAACAGACCAGATCCGGCTGTGGGAGCTGGAACGGGACAGGCTGCGGTTCTCTGAGGGTGAGCATCTGAGGAGGAAAGAGCTGATGCATGTCCTTGTGGGGAGGAGAAGGATGAAGGTTTCGCTCTAGCAAAGGGGTCTTTGTTCTCTGATAGATTCTTTTCCCCAGTGCCAGTACCTTGTCCCTGCCGGTCGTAATCCTTCTTGAACCTTCCAGGAAGGTGAAAAGGAAGAGGTTCCTCCTCCCGTCCTTCCATCACTCCACATCATGGGCTTGCTACCTTTTTGCCTTTGCTCCTCTCATCTCCCATTCCTGTGGCACTATTCTTATGTGCACCGGTTGCTGAGGAATATGGGTGGGAGGTGCTGTTGCTGCTTGTGGATTTTGCAGGCAGATCGTTGGCCACTGTCTGAATAGGTTTCTGGACTACATGGACCCCTGGTCTGACCCAGCATGGCTTTTGGAATGTTTTATCCTCCTTTTCCTTTTCTTTATTTCTTTGCTCTGCTATTCCCCAACCCCTTTATTCACCTTCTCTTAAAACGACCAGCCCACTCTCTCCCTTTGCTCCAACCAAACTTTCAGTCCTTCCCTGCTACTTTGTCTAACTCCGAATTGTTCACTGTTCTTTCTGATTCCATTTCATTCATTATCCCTTAAATCCCCAGCCTTCTTCTGCTTTGTCTTCTTTCTTTCATTTCCCCCAATTTAACTGTGGTCATTCCTCATAGAGTCGCATCCTTATTTTCACATTCCTGTTCCTCTCCCTGCCTCGCTCACTTTGTTGCCCCGCTTTGTTGCTCCTCTCCCTGTCTGCTTTCTTTTTTTAAAAAAAGTAACAAAAAGAAACTAAAAATCATCAGTCATCAGAAACATCAGACCTACTGGGTCAGTCCCCCGTACTTTTTTTTTTATAGTAATCCATAAACATATTTAAGTCTATGCATAGTCCCATTTCTCTAGCCAATAATAAAAGGAATTCCAAGTTTGATAGAAGTCTGTATCCTCTTTCTCCTTCGGAGACAAAGTCAATCTGTCCATTTTGGCACAGTCCAAGATCTTTTTTAAAATCAGTTCGTCGGTAGATGGTTCTTCACTCCTCCAGTGCTGGACAAACCCTGTCTGCTTTCTGCATCGCATCCTTCTGAGCTGCCTTCCGTCCTTTTCACAGTGTTGTTACTCTCCCCAGGTGTCCTCTACAACCAGTTCCTCTCCCAGGTGGATTTCGAGCTACTGCGGGACCACGCCAGGGAACTTGGGGTGCTGGTCTTCGAGAACCCCTCCAAGCGCCTCATGGTGGTGACCCCTGCTGGCCACTCGGATGTCAAGCGCTTCTGGAAGCGGCAGAAGCACAGTTCCTGAGAGGGCAGAGGCTGTGCGCAAAACCCTTTTTCTCACCCTTGATACTGAAAGTGGGGCTGATGCAGCTTATTGTAGCTCTTTGCCCAACACTCTGGATGGGTAGCTGAAATAGGGAGCAAAAGAAGCCTTAATAAGGGTTTGCCTGATGACCCTCTTCAGCCAAGGAGGTGCAAAGAACTGCGGAAAGAAACCCACCGGACAGCCTGGTCTAAGCAGTGGAGGAAGCAGTTACTGCCTGCCAAAAAGTCTCTCCGGCAGGGAAGGCCCATGACTGGACTCGTGTTAACACAGAAAAGGCTCCTATTTTATGCCCAAAAAGTGCTTTCAGAAACTAGGGATGGAGGGAGGGCACATCTGCAGCACTCTCATTGTAGATGTATGTACTTGTGCCCAGTAAATAGTTTGGAATCAACTGGTGGTGTGACATTGCTAATCCAAAGCTGTTCTGTAGTCAGTCCTTTGGACAGGAAGACCACCGGATCACAGTGTATTGGAAAATAGAAATGTAATTAAATATTTTTTTTCAAAAAAGAAAGATACAGCTGCTTTGTGCCTTCCTCCTCCAATGATTAATAGCAAAGTTGGTGGGCGGGAGGGAGGGGCATTGTTACCCTGAAACTATGGTGCAGGGGAAGAAGTACGATTCTCCTGGCATTTTTGGACTAAAATTCCTGTCACCCCAAAGCAGTATAGCCAGTAGAGAAGGGGATAATGGAAATAACTGCCCAGCAATATCTGAAGGGCCCTGTGTTCCCTAGTCCTGCCAAACAAATCAGTGGGGAAATGCAAAACCACTGTTCTTGTCCTCTGATTGCTTCTGCCCCAGCCTGAGAACATGGAGTGAGAGCAGGCCATCAAACAGGAAGGCATCGTACCCTTACCTTGGCCATCTCCAGCAGTCACTCTCACATGCAGGAAATTCCCAGACAAGCTCCCACCCATGGAAAGCAATAAGCAAAAACAGATGAGGCTTCTTTGCAAAACCATACAGAGAACACTAATCCCTTAGCCAGACTCGTAGACAAGAGCTGCAAGCACCTCTGTGCTTTAAATATTTCCCTTTATCCATCCTGAATCTCCCACCACTCTGCTTCATGGGTTTTTAGTATTTTAGATTTTAGTATTCTGGGGAGGGGAAAATTTTCTCCCTATCCACTTTATCCCTATGAGACATACCTCTACATGTCGCTCTCATGTCTCCTCTTACTTGCCTTTTTTCTAAGCTAAACAAAGGGACACTCAACGGCTTTTTCTTAGCCATGAATGGGCATTGATGGGTGGCAGTGGAAGTTCAGCAACTAGTGTGGGACCACCACAGGTCGGAGGGATGCCACAGAAACATCCTGTTTTAGGACTGAGGACTTGCGCTGGCCAAGGGCTCTGTGTTCTGTGCCTTGGGCTTGGAGTTATCATGGGGTCACTCTGCCTCATTCACAAACTGTACAGGGAGGCCAGATGACATGCTCTTCCATTTGTAACCTTCCCTCTTTTCCTGCCACTTCCCTTTTGTCCTACAAAAACAACAGACAACGCAGTAATTACTAGAAGCCAACGTGGCTCTCTCAAGAACAAATCCTGCCCGATGAACCTAATAACATTCGCAACTGTTCGCTGCCTTTTTATGATTGCTGATTTAAAACATAATGCAATAAATAATGAGTAATGAAAAGCTCCTAAATCTCTGGCAATCCTACGTAGTGCAGACATGCTTTTGTGGCACTCTTGTAACCAGCTTTGCTATCTGTATAGCACCAAAGAATATAGTATAGAATTAGGTACAAGTGCCTGCTAATAGGGGGAATATGCAAACTGCAAAGGCCTTTCTCACCAGTTGTTATTAATAGATAGACATTTTGGCTAATTGAGGGATCAAAGGGTGTGGGGTGGACACTTGTCCCTGGATCCAGGAGGTGGTGAATGCCTGCTTGAGAGAAGGAGTGGTCCCTGCCCCTTTAAAGATGGCAATGGTTACACCACTCCTTAAAAAGCCACATCTGGATCCAAAGGACATAATTATTGAACTATAACCAATATTCCTTGGCAAGGTGCTCGAGGAGGCTGTGGCCAAGCATTCTTGGAGAAAATGAATTATTTAGATCTATTTCAATCAGGCTTTAGATATGGACTGGAAATGGAAACTGTCTTGGTTGCCCTGTGGGATGACCTATGCCAGGACAGAGACGGGGAGCGCAACCCTGTTGATTCTCCTGGATCTCTCAGTGGCATTTGATACCAGTGGCCATGGTATCCTTCTGGAGAGGCTGGCCGGATATGGAGTTGGGGCACTGTTTTGCGGTGGTTCCACTCCTACATGGCTGACTGTCTCCAGTTGGTGGAGCTGGGGGACTGTCACTCTGTGCCTTAGCATCAGTGCCATGGAGTTCCACAGGGCTCATTCTGCCCCCTCCCCGCTCTTTAACATCTACGTGAAACCACTGGGTGGGGTCATCCGGAGGTATGGGTTGAAGTGCCATCACTTCAGCTCTACCTCTCACTTTCATCTAACGCAGGCAAGGGAGCGCCTTTCCTACCTTGGTTCGGTAATGGACTGAATGAAGGCCAATAAACTGAAGCTCAGTCCAGACAAGATGGCTGTTCTATCGATGGGCCATCCATTTGTTCAAGTGGGAAATTTTCAGGCTATCCTGGATGGGGTTGTGCTCCCCCTAAAGGATAAGGTTTGTAGCTTTTCCTGGATCCTGAGCTCTCACATGTTTCTCAGGTGGCCAGGAGCACCTTCTATCAGCTTAGGCTGATTTTCCAGCTATACTCCTACTTGCACAAGTGGAGCCTCACTGCAGTTATCCATGTGCTGGTAACCTTCACCTGGATGACTGTAATGCACTCTACGTGGGGCTGCCTTTGAAGACAATCCAGGCTCTTTAATTAATTCAAAACAGAACAGCACAGTTGCTAATGAGCACCGACCCTAGAGAACGTATGCTGGTCCTCTGCCAATTGCATTGGCTGCCTGTTATTGCCCAGGTCAAATTCAAAGTCTTAAACAGCTTGGGACTGGGATACCTAAAGGAACGCCTGTCTCCATATATCCCTACCAGGCTACTCAGCTCATCAATGGAGGCCCTCCTTCACGAACCCTCCCCACATGAGGTGAGGGGGGAGATGGCAGGGAAAAAGGCACCTTACCTTTGAGGAAAAAAGGCACCTCCTCTGTTGTCGCACTTCACCTTTGAAATTCCCTTCCAAGGGAGGTGCGACTGGCACCCACTTCACCTTCTTTTGGTGCCAAGTTAACACTTTTTTACTTATTGTTTTTAGATGATGATTATTGGTCTTGCTGCTGGTTTATTGTTTTATTGGTTTTTATCATTTGTATTGTGTTTATCTTCCAGTTGTATTTATACTGTATTTTTACTCTATTATGTTTTACAGTTTTAGTTATTATTGTCATTTATTTTTATTTGTATTCTCTATCTTTATATTATTGTTTATGATTATGCTGTCAACTGCCCAATTAATTGAGAGCCTTCTGGCTATGGAGAGGTATACAAATGCAATAAAAAACAAACAAACAAAGCTAAACACTTGGAAACAGGCTTTTGTGAAGAGGTTTTCCCCCGACAATCTCACCAACTTAGTCATCTCAGACAAGAACTTGGAATCTTTTGGGAACAGGTTTTCATCTTATCATACTAGAGCTGGAGGGGAGCAAGAAGGTCATTGGGCCCAACCCCCTGCTGGTGCAGGACACCAGTTTACACCATCCCATTCAGATGGCTGTCCAGTTTCTTTCTGAATGTCTCTAGTGTGGGAGAGCCTTGCACCTCTCTAGGCAGTTGGTTCCACTATCATATTGCTCTGACAGGGAGGAAGCTTTTCCTGGTATCTAGCCTGAACCTGGGTTGTTGCAATTTGACTTTTTACTCCATGTCCTGCACTCTTGGGATGAGCAAGAAGAGATCATGAACTTCCTCTTGGTGACAGCCTTTGAGGGACTTACAGAGGGATATCATGTTTTCTCTCATTCTTCTCTTTTCAAGGCTGAATATGCCCAGTTCTCTGAGTCTCAATTCATAGGGGTGTATTTCCAAATCCGGGATAATTTTTTTTGTCTGATTAGTGAGGAGTTCAGGGGAATTCCTACTTCTCATGATTTGGAAATAATACTTTTATGAATGCATCCCAAAATAGTATTTTCTGTTTGGTGGTTGCATCGCATTGTTGGTTCATATTTAGCCTGTTGTCTACAATTACTCCAAGATCTTTTTCTTTTTCTGTTCTGTTGAGCCACGTAATCCCCATCTAGTATCGATCTTTTACCTAGGTGGAGGATTTGTCATTTGTCCTTAATGAAGACCATTCTGTTGCTTCAGCTCAGCATTTAAGTTTATCAAGATTACTCTGGATTTTTATTCTGTCTTCTAGGGTGTTTGGTATTCCACCCAGTTTTCTATCATCTGAAAATTTGGTTATTGTTCCTTGTACTTCCTTATCTAAACCATTAATAAAGGTGTTGAAGAGCACTGGGCCCAGGACTGAACTCTGGCACCCCGCTAATTGCCTTCCTCCAGTTGGAGAAGGTGTCGATGACAAGCATTCTTTGTGTCCAATTTAACAGCCAATTTTGGATCCACCTAATAGTTTTTCTATCTAGTCCAGTTTTTGATCATTTTCTTATCAGAATGTCGTGGGGCACTTTGGTCTTCATGTAAATCCATTTGTTCCCATGTTGAACATTGAGATTACAAATGTTGCACTGAAATGGACAGGCTGACTTTGTCTCTGAAGGATAAAGAGGATACATATTTCTATCAAACTTGGAACTCTTTTTATTATTGGCTAGAGAAATGGGACTATGCGTAAATTTGAATATGTCTATGTATTGTTATAAAAAAAATGGGGGGCTGACCCAGTAGGTTTGATGTCTTTGATGATTGATGTTTTTAGGGTTTTTTTTAGTTTGTAGAAAATTATTATTGTTATTATTATTATTAATAATAATAATAGTAATACTTATTTAAAAAAGAGAGAGATTACAAATGTAGGCTACCTCAGAGCACTGGCTGTCATTATTTGATTCCTATGATCAAGGATTATTGTATATATTGGCATAGTAGAGTTGCTTTGTTCATTGGAAATCTGCAGGGATGTCAAGGAGTAACTGAACTGCCCTTTAGACGATTAAAGGAGAACATAGCAATTTGGCATCAGGTACATTAAAGTTGAAAACAGGTGTTGTTTTTCACATACGATGAAGAGCACAATCCTTATAATAGTTTTATACTGTTTATTTATTTATGATTGTGAGCCGCCCTGAGGCTTTGGCGAATGGGGCGGCATAGAAGTTCTATAAATAAATAAATCTTTAAAAGGTTTGAAAATTTTGGAAGAATTTGCTCTCCTGTAATTGCTGAATCAAAATTGGAACCAAACTGTTGAATTGTTAAAAGATTATGTAACAAAGGAAGAAATATACCTGGGCACTAGAGATCTTTAGAGACAAGATAAAGTGAGTTGAAACATGTTAGGAAGACAATGAATCCAGCTTCCCTGCCCCAGATTGGTGAAAAGAAC